ATACACAGTTACATCACACACATACACACGCAGACACACACATACACAGTTACACACGTCACACACATATACACACGCAGACACACACATACACAGTAACACACATCACACACACATATGCACACTTATACACACACTACATACACACGCAGACACACACCATACAACACCCACAGAGACATACAGAGACACACACTGTACCACACACACATATACACTTACACACGCACCACATACACACACCACACACACAGACATACAGAGACACACGCCATACCACACACACACCACACACGTACACTTACACACACCACATGCACACTCAGACACACACACACAGGGAACAGAAGAGATCGAAGAAATCTGGATAAGATCAATGGACCATATCACTGACCAGACCCTGCTGGTGCTGCTGGACTGTGGTTTTGCAAAATGCCCTCACTAGGGAACACGGGGCAGCTTCCAGGAGACCCCTCTGTGCACTGTTCCTATGACTGCATATGACTGTATCATCATCTCAATAAAAACTTCAATTAAAAAAGTAGTCACCCAATAAGAATGTTTCTGAAATCATAGTTTTTGTGACCACGCAAACCAAACAAAACCAAACAAAAAGAAGTCATTTTGAAGGTTACTTTCCTCAACCCCACCTCTGAGGGGTTGGCTACGGCTCCTCTCCTGGGGATGTGGGAGGGTGCTGGGATGGATAAACCGAGTCCCCAGCCCTGCCCCCCCCCAGGGCGTGACAGGGGGGCCCACACAGGGGCTCTGCTTGAGCCTGGGGGAGCGCTGGGGCCATGGAAGTGCTCCCACAGTTTCGTAGCCACAGGCTTGACTCCCACAGGGGATGAAAGGGGTTCAGGCTCTGGGATCCTGCCCTGGGGCCTGGAAAAGATTCTGGAATTTTCCAGTGACTGAGAGGAGTGGGTGGGAGGGCTGCCTTCCCCAAGCCCCACCTGGCGACCAGGCCTGGGAAGATCCCAGGTCTCCCTAGAAGAAGGGTCTCTGAGGCTGAGAGTGATAAACCAGTGATAAACCGCCAGGGACGGTCCCCGGCTTCTGTCCCTTCCCCCTCCTTGCTTTTCCCTCTGGTGCCTCCAGGAAGTGGGCATGAAGTTTAAATTCTGTGTTAGGGACCATTATCATCATACAAGTTACAGTGTACCACCGTGGGCACCATGCGGGGGACAAGGGAGCCCGGCAGGCGCAGGTGCCTAGTGAGGAGGGTCGGCAGGTTCCTCGGCCCGTGCGCGGGGGACCTCAGACCTCAGTTCTTCCGCAGCCCCCCTCCCTGCTCCCACCTTACCAGGGAAATCAGGGAGGGTGGAAGCTTCCAGCATGCACGTCAGATGAAAGAAGGGGGAAAGTCAAAAAGACCCTTATAGAGAAAGTGTGTCAGACTCCTCCCCAACTCCAAAACCCTGACATCAATGCTTCGTGGATGAATTTAAAGACCACCACTATCATTTTCTCATTCTTTACGAGAATCCTCTGTTTTGTAATTTCTCATCCCTTAATGACGTACTTTGACCTTTTTTTTATGAACAAGACTTTGAGACGTAGTTTTTAGGATTTTGATCCCTCGACGGTAGAGCGGAGTGTACAGGACGGAAACCACAATATGGCAGGTTTCAATTTTCACACACCAAGTAGCTGTGTTTGTACTTTTAAGGGAAGAAGTATGGAGACTTTTTAAATAAATCACCATTTTAGAGAGTGAATGCTGTCTTCAGGCTGGTGTTCACCTCCTCCCAAGCCAGGGAAGTGCTGGTTTACAGAACGGTGGGGTTCCGATGAAGTCCATTCAGGCGGCGTGCTTGGGTTCATGCGGCTTGTGCTCATGACGCTGGGGTGGGGGGGCACTGGGCACGCACCGGGGACAGACGACACTGCCCTCGGAGAGCCCTCAGCTTAGAAAGAGAGACGAGCTCAGAAACAAGTGATTTCCATGCCGTGTAAGTGTCACTGTACCTGTGTAACCACACACAAACTAACACGCACACACACACACACACACATTCTTCAGGCATCATGGGAGCCTGAAGAATGACCTCTCTGTGGGTCCGTGAATTGGGGGAAAACTCAGAGCACGTCGGCACCCCAGAAGTGGCAAGTGATGGAAACACAGGTGTCCCCGGAAGTGGCTCACGAGCATTTGAGTCGGCCAGGGCTCTAGCTTAGTGAGGGCTCCTCTTTCTTTCATTCAGGGTGGGGGATGGGGAGAAGGTGTCCCAGTGAGTAGATTTGTCTAAAGTAATTAATTTGAAACCCGTATTTAAGATCACACAGCAGAAAGTCTGTTCTTCTTGGTCGTTACTCCATCTTGGTGTCACTGGTGAGACTCTGTGCCTCCCCGCACCTGCCCCCTGCTCCGGGAATCTGCCTCTGCCCACCTGGAGGGTGTGGTCCTCACACATGCATGCCAACCTTGGGGTTGCCCTTGTGGACACCTTGCAGCCAAGCCAGCCCTTGGGCATGGAGGCCCTGGCAACCACGCCCATACTGGAACTTCCTTGACTAGCACTGGGTCCAGGGCTGGTCTCTGTGACGGGGTGAAGCTTTGCACACCCACCCCTTACTTGGGTTTCCTGCACCACTGTGGGCAGATTCTCCATGTGCGAGATGGAGAAATCAGACTTCTGGGAACATCCTCGGATCCAGAACCCCTCCTCTTAGAAGAGGGAAGCAAGTGTTCACAGTTTTGGTGGCCAACTTGGCATTTAAGTTGTTGATCGGTTTATAACACTCGTTTTTCCAAACATTCTGAATATTGTTAGGTCTTCCATCATGCTTTTTAAAACGTTAAAATCTAGCCATGTCAAACACAAAAGCACCTAAAAGAGAAGGAGCCATCCCCATGGCACTGTCCTGGATGTCCAGGTGCAGGTGAGGGCTCTCCTCATTCACTAACCCACGACACGCATGCCCTGCACTTGCTTCTGCGGGTCAAGCCACCAGGGGAAGCAGCCCACCTGCCCTGTGGCATGTTCTCCGGGCTGTTTCTCTGGCTACAGGTTAGCAGTGCCCCACCCAGGACTTTGTCTCCTGGCTCCCACTCTAACCTGGCTGTCGGGCATGACGTGGATGTGAAGCTGTAGCCACAGAAAAAAGGAACCAAATGGGAAGAGCTCCACCCATGGACCTGCTCTGGAGCCAGCAAAGGCCTCATTAGGACCATTAGGGGCGGAGCAGTCGACCATGACTTTGAAAGACTGATATGTCTCCAGTGAGTTCAAACGGGTGGGGCCAAGTCTCTTTAGACTCAAATGCTAATGAGCGTGGCTTTGCAGATGGTAATTGCATTAATTCCTGCTGGTACGATGAGCCTGGTACAAACCCAGAATGCCCCACTGGCCTGGCACGTGGGCTTGGGAACATCACTCCCACTCACACCTCAGTTTCCTTATCTGTGGGACGGGACTAATGAGAATTCCTGCCTCAGAGGGCTGTTGTGACCATAAAACAGTGCACACAGGAAATGCGGCAGAGCTGTGCCAGGCGCATGTACACGCTGATTCATTGCCTGCCGTTAGCATTACTCAAGACCTTTTGAAAGATTGTAAGACAGCAAATATTTCCTAACAAAATTCAATAGTAATTAGGGTGATTGCTGAGCAGCCAGCCTGCCTCGGCGCTCCCTCTCTCCCTGGGCATCCCCGTCTCGGACACGCCGGGAGGCTCCCCGCAGCCTCTCCCTCCCCGGGCACCTGCTCGCTCTTTGAAACTCGCCAGCTTTCCTAGGGCCGCCTCAAGGCAAAGCAACAGATTCATATGTGATAACTTCATCTGTGGTAAAGTGCATCTGGACAGTGATTGCCTACGAGCAGCTCTTCCCTGTTATGTGTGTGCCTGGGCGCCACAGAGGCTGTGTGGGTAACCAGGAGGGGTCTCTAACATTGCAGGTGCATGGTAGGGTAACAGGGCCATGCAGAGATGCAGGGAAGACTCTGGCCTCTTGATGACGCGTGACTGTCCACCGTGCCTTCGGCACCCCTGTGCGGGGTTAGGTGGTCCTGCCTTAGTCCAGCACCTTCTCATCTTACTCTGCTTCTGAGTCTTTTGGTATAACTCTGATCTGCTGAGAAACCTGTTCCAGGAAGCGCCTGGGTGGCTCACTGGGTGGAGCGTCTCCCTTTGGCTCAGGTCATGATCCCAGGGTCCTGGGATCGAGTCCCACATCGGGCTCCCTGCTCTGCGGGGAGCCTGCTTATCCCTCTCCCACTGCCTCTCCGCCTGTTCATGCTCGCTCTCTCTCTCTCCTTCTGTTAAATAAAGACTTAAAACCTTTAAAAAAGAAAAGAAACCTGTTCCGACAGAAAAGTGCAAAACCCACAATGTATATTGAGGAGATCAAAGTAATCAAGGCTCTCCACTTTAGCTTAGGATTGCAATGTACATAAGCGGTCAGGATTCATTCAGACAAGCTCTGACGGAGGCCTTATGGGAGCACATGTCCCTGGGAAGCAAGAGACAATTAATGCACCAAGCACCAAATGCTACAAAGAAAGACTAGAGATAAACCTTATGACTAACCACCGTAGATTAAGCTCCCACACGCGAAAAGGGCCCTTGGAAGTAGGAAGTTTGGGTTGCTTCCAGTGCCTAGGGATAAAAACGTGCAGTGACACTGGCCCCCTGTGGCTCTGGGCCTCGAGTCCTTACTGAGTACCTATGTTGTTTGTATGGGATTTGCCTGTGTCCAGGTGCAGAGAAAACCAAGTGGACCAAGTGGGACAAGGTCGCACCACGAAGGCGTCCCCACATCTGTTCTCAGCGAAGGTCACCAAGGAGCATCAGGTCATGTTAGCCCAACGCCCTTGGCGGCTTGTCGAGGTGCTGGAAGCAGGTTGCTCTAGATGTGGAGGGACAGAAAGGTGCTCCTTCCTTTGGCTCTGCAGATGGTGCCAGAAAGAAGAACACCGAAGGCTCGGGCTCCCATTGCAAGTTTCTGCCCAGGGACCCGTGGAAGGACAGGGGGTCTCCACCACGGTGGGAAGTCAAGGTGGCCACCTGTCCCCTTCTGTTCAGGTTTTCAGGTCCCTCTAGAAATGAAAACACAGTTGTTACCTTCTTTCGCACTTCAAGCCGGCCTCCCACACTGAGATGGGGCGGGCACTTGCATTTTGCCACGGGTGAGCGTGGGCTGGTCCCCACCGTGCATGGGGACAAAGGTGGCCTCTGCTGGCGGGCCCCGGGGCGTGTAAGACAGCACTCCTACCAGCACCCGCCTCCGCATCGGCTGTCCCTGACCTGGGGCACTTTCCCTAGTGGCCACATGGCCTTTCCAGCCGTCGTGTCATGGTCCTGAGTCCCGGTTTGAGTCAGAACAGGCTTGTTTTAAGCCCCCATCCAGAGCACAGTGGATGAAGGCAGAGATGACTCAGCAGGCAGTCCCATCAGCTGATGACCGGGCCAATTCCCCTTGACCCGTGTGGGCCCTTGGAAGGTCCGTGGGCGTACTCAGAGAAACAACCGAAAACACAGACCTCTGGAAAACCTCCCATGGGAAGGGAAGCCTCTTCTGGATCCGCCCCCCTCCCCGGGACATCCGAAGACACTTGCTAAAGGGCAGCTCTCATACTGGCCCCCAGTGGACAGACTGAGGCAGCTGGTGACGAAGATGTCTCAGGCCTCCAGGGGGCCATCCAGCCGCCATCCATCCAGCACTTGTGAACGTGCTCATCGGGGCAGGGGAGCATGGATCCAGGTGGGGGGAGGGGGTGGAAGCTCTTTTTAAGCCCTCCCAGGGAGCCACAGGGCCCCCACCGGTATTTCCGCAAAGCGTCTTCCCTTGAAGACCCCGTGCATCAGAATCGCCAGGGCCCTCACCCCACATCCCCTCATCAGACCCTCTGGAGAAGTGTCCCGGGAATCGTCAGGTACACAGGCAGCCAGGGAGGCTCCGGTGCAGGCCCACAGTGGGGATCGGCTGTGCAGCAGGTGCGAGGCTGGAGTCACACTCTGCTGTCACCAGCTGCAGGGCTTTTACGAACGTGTCCTCCCCTGTAATATGGGGACAGCCCCAGGACCTGCCACCCAGGCCAGTGCTGAGGGAAACAGGCAAGACATCACCCAGCACCGTTGTTGTTAGAAGGCTCCCAGGGGGACGTTGGAAACTTGACCCCACCAGGCCCCGGCCCTCCTCCACAGCTTGAAGACTGGGAGCTGGTTTCCTGGACCCACACCTGTTTCAAATTTGACTTTCATGACAACTAGCTTGGTCCCGTGGACCGTCTGTCCCTGAGCGGGGCTGTGTGGAGGGAGCACCTCGGTGGCTCTGTGGGTGACTCCCCCTTTCCCGCCCTCCATCCCCCACACCCCCGTGATCATCTGCACCCTGGGGTCCCACTCACGGCCATCAAGGCCACTGCAGCCGGAGGGGGCGGGGGAGGGGGTGGGGAGGGGGGTGACTGCTTAATGAGGTTGCAAAAACGGTCCTGAACAGGGAGCACCAGAGCGTCCAGTTGCTGGCTATAAAGCACCGTGAAGATGTTAGGCTACTGATTGTCCGCTTTAAAATGGTTAATTTTCTGTTGCGTAAATTTGGCCTTAATTTTAAAAACAAAAAGGCAAAACCCAAGTTCTTTGAAACTTGTCCAAGGCGTGATGGGGGCTTAGCATCAGAGATCAAGTCAGCAAATACTTGCTGGGTATCCACAAGGTAGAAGGCTGTGCTGCTGAGGGTCCTGGGTGGCCAGGCCCCGCTGCCCCTCCGGCCTGTCACCCCAGGGGTGGCTGTCCCTCCTGGCTGCCTGTGGCATTCCCTTCTCCCGCCTGCCCTGGTCCTGGAAGCGGCCTCCCTGACCTGTCTCCCTCCTGTGGCAACCCCCTTCAGGGAGGCTCCCCCAAAGCCCAGAGCTGCCCAGGCTCCCTGAGATCAGAGACTCTCCAGCCCATCCCTGGCTCTTAGCAAGGTTCAGATTCTTCAGTGGGCACTGGGGGCCTGCAGGTTCACACCCTCCCCCACTGTCTGCACCCTGTCCACCCTCTACTCCCGCCCATTGGACCCACCCCCTCCCCAGGGCCCCTGCGTCGTTCACCCCGCTTCTTTTCCCCACTTGGTGGAGAAAGTCTGTCCTTTGCATCCCTGTGGCTGCCCTTGTGTGCACCCACCCCCCAGGACCACCCCCACGCCTAGCCTTGCCTGTGGGACTAGCCGTGCTTACGTCCGACACCCAGAGGTCACAGGGCACTGCTTGCCAGACCGACCCCTCAGTGTCGCACCTGACCCTGCCTAGCAGCCCTGGGGCCACAGGAAAGGACGCTGGAGGCAAATGACGGGGACCAGCGTGAGCTGCACCCACCTCCATCTGCTCGTGAATCCAGTCCAGGAAGGAGGTGATGCGCGTGTAGACCCCGGGCTTGTTCACGTCGGCACAGCCGATGCCAAAGCTCGTTGCGCCCACCAACTTCCACTCTCTCCTTTCCTGACACACCAGCGGCCCTCCGCTGTCTCCCTGGATGGTGAGGAAATAGCACTGTGGGGGGTGTCCCTGGTCTCAGCGCCAGGATCCCCCCCTTCTCATCACAAAACTCAGGGCAAGGCTGCCTCCACACTCACGTGCCCAGCCTCCGAGAACTGATGCTGGCACTCCCGTGGCACTCCTTGGCCCCCCAGGGACGGTCTCCCCCAGCTGTCTCCCTGCCAGATTCTAGAGGCACTGAACCCATGAAGGTCGAGGCAGCTGGACACAGCCCGCGGAGCACTCTAGAGGGAGGGTCTGCCCGGCCAGGGCTGGACCCCTACAGTGTTTGAGTGGCACTCACTGTGGCTCTGGAGGCCAGATGCACCGGTTCCCACCCGCCTGCAGCCCCTGCAAACTCTGAGAACCAGGGCTGGGGCGGGGAGCACCCTGCAGACCCCTCCCACCACCAGCACCCAGGCGGAATGCTGCGAGTGCTGGGTAAACTCGGCCGGCGGCCAGGCAAGGGAGTGCTATCTTGAGCAAACGTCTTCCCCACACCCTGTAAATTTGCTTTTCAGTCGGTCCCAGGGCAATGCCCGCAGTGGCCTGTCCCACAGGCTGGGTCACCGTCCAGAGCCTCCCCTGCCGCGGTGGCCCCCAGAGGCCACCAAGGGCCCCTACCTGACAGCTGTCCACTCCGCCCTTCAAGTAGCCGGCGCAGAGCATGGAGGGAGAGATGATGCCACCGTACACATCGCGGTGGTTGCAGATCTTGTTGGAGATTAAAGGCACAGCTGCGTGGCTGAGGACCGGGGAGCCATCGCCTGTGTCAGAGGGAAGGCGGTACATGCCTGAGGGGCCCTGCTGGGAATTCAGGGCATGCACCGGGGCGGGGGCGGGGGCCACGCCACCACACTCCCGTGGCAGAGAAGGCCACTCCTGGAGGTGGCCGGCGCGTGGTCTGTGGCGAGCTCCCTGATGAGCGGGCCGGGCAGCCTGTTGCTTCCCATCAGGGCCACGCACTCCCCTGAAGTGGCCAAAGCAGAAGGAGGTTGGGCAGCAGTAGCCAGCATGGACCTCCCCAGGGTCCATCCTGGGCCAAGCGCTCGACCCACACCGGCCCGCTCGGGCCTCAGAACAATCCAGGTTACAAAAGGGAAACTGAGGCCCGTGCCTGTGAAGTTTGCAGGCAGAACATTCGTGTGGTCAGCAGAAAAGTGTCCTCCCAAAGGTGTCCACTTCCCAATCCGGGAAACTTTGTCTGTGTCACTTTCCCCGGCAGAAGGGCCCCGAGATGGGGACACGGGCCTGGGCTACCTGGGTGGGCTCTAAATGGAACCGCAAGCATCAGAGGAGAAGATGTGATATGGGGGGGGGAGCCGGGGGGGGCGGGGGACACTGCCTGGCCCACTGTGAGGACGGAGGCGGGGCCACGAACCAGCAGGCAGTCGCCAGAACCTAGAAAAGGCCAGGAAACAGACTCTCCTTTGGAGCCTCCAGGAGGGACCAGCCCTTCCAACACAGGGATTCCAGCCCGTGGAGTTGGATGACTCCTGACCTCCGGAACTGAAGATAATACCTTCCTGGGGTTGAAACCAATGAGTCTGGTCTTGCTGCAACAGCAACAGGAACTGATACATCTGCCGTTGGGTCAGCCCCACCATTGACCCAAAGGGATCCACACCTCTAACTTAACCTGTTTGTAAACCGGGTATCTTTATGTTTTATAGGCTGAAAGCAGGGCACGGCCCTATTCCTGTGTCTCTAGCATATATCAGCAGGTGGGGTGCGGGTCTACACTCCTCAAGGCCACATTCGAAGAGTTCTCTGAGTGTGAGCTGCATCCTGTTTTCTGCACGGGCTTCTCCAATCCACCCATACCCCACTTGCCTGGGGACCACTGGCCAGAGGTTGGCTGAGAGTGGTATCTCTCCCTACTCGTCCCACAGGATCTGGCAAAGTAATGAACTAATGTTCTGATGCCACAAGTCCTGAGAAACAATGCGACTAGGGCTGTGGGGGGAGTGTGGACGTGGAAGCCCAGACCTCCCACCACCTGGTCGTGTGAGCCCAGGCCAGGCGCTCAGCTCCCCTCAGCCCCAGGCTCCTCGCCCTCAAGATGGCCATGAAGATAATTCCCCACCGAGGGGCTGCTGTGAGGAGCAGACGGTCTGGACACATCCGGCTCAGCACCTGGTACATGGTGAAACGGAGCTCAGCATGTCTGTGGAGGAAGCTTCCCATATGGGCAAGAGAACGTGGCAAGCCGCAGGGGTGAGACCCTGCCCTGGGGAAGAGAACCAACCCTGTAGATCTGGGTGAGCCCCGTGTGCCTTGGACATTTGGGGCGGGAGGGGGGTTAGGCTCAACTAATAAGCCTCAGGAGGAAAATTCTGAACTTCCTGTATTGGGGTGAATTGCACTCCCAAAAATCATGTTCACCTGCAACCTTACAATGTGCCCTAATTTGGAGTAGGGTCTTTGCAGATGTAATTAAGGTAAGAATCTCAAGATGAGATCATCCTGGATTTAGGATGGCCTTTAAGTCCAAAGACTGGTGTCCTTATAAGAGAAAGGGGAGAGAGATTTGAGACTCGGGGTGGGGGATGCACAAGAAGATGGGGCAGAGACTGGAGTGATGTGTCTACAAGCCAAGGGATGCCCAGGATGGCTGGAGCCACCAGAAGCTGGGGGAGAGGCCAAGGGTAAGTTCTTCACCCTCAGAGCCTCCAGAAGGAACCGGCCCTGTGACACTTTGATCTCAGACTTCTGGTCTCCAGAGCTGGGAGAGAATGAGTCTCTGCTGGTTAAGCCTCTCCATTTATGGAGCTTTGTTACAACAGTCCCCCTCCCCCCCGCCAAGGAACTCCTACATTTTCTACCAGAAGGAAAGGAATTGGTGGAAAACCTATGAGTGATGAGCCCAGGTGTGCCCCACCCCGATGGAAGGATGGGGTGGGTTCCATTGGCATGCACTGTTCTCATTAAGATGACTATTACCGTTACGATTATAGCAGTAAGTTTCCATACATCTGCTTCCTCTAATGAAATAGCACATCTTCCAAAGCACGCAAGATGAAAATTCATCACCAGTTACAGATGTCTGCCTTCTGAATAAACCTTGGGAAGGGTTCTCTATGGGCTCCTTATGTACTCTGCTAGCATGGTGGGGAGGATGGGGGGAAACCGCCTGATGATTTGGTGAACATCTCCCCAACAAGGAGTGTCCCTAGTCCTCCTTTTTCATTTATTTCTCCCTGACAAAGTCTGCAGTTTCCCCAAGATAAGCGGAACCATGACTCTGACCCACAACCGCTCTGCTGAGAGCGTGTGTCCAGCAGCTGACCCGTACCGCCTGCCTGGGACGTGTGGGCCTCCCACGGGGATGCCACACTGGGACACGGGGGGCAGCGTGTCATGGTGGGCGTCCACGCTGGGCCTCGTGGCTCTGGGCTCCCTGGACTCAGAATCTCAATTTCAGGTGACTGACCTCCATCCTCTGTGGCCCCCCATCCTGACGTCCAGCACATTTTTCCATCAGGAAAGTTTTCTTCGGAGTTGGGCAGGCAGACGGGCTGGATCATCTCTGTTGCAAGGGGAGACGGCAACCTTGAACTCAGTTGAAGCACTAGTCCAAGAAAACAATGACTCTCCCCAGTGTCCACTCTCCCAAAGAAAGGTCAAGCCCTTGGTTGGTCTAAGAGCTACCAGCTCAACACAGGGATCCTCCCCCTCCAGAGCCTAACCTGTGGCAACGTGAGTGGGTCTGGACCAGGGGTGGCATATTTTCTGTGAAGGGCCAAGTAGTAAATACACGAGGTTCTGTGGGCCGTGTGGCCTGCCACCATGGCCTGAAAGCAGCCAGCCACAGGCAGTGGTACACAAATGGATCTGGTTGTGTCCCACCAGAACTTTATTTACAAAAACAGGCAACAGGTCAGATTGGGTCCCGGGGCCCTAACCTGCCCACTCCTGGTCTGGACCATGGGCACACTGCCTTATGAAACATCCCTCCATGGCTACTCTGGTCCCTCCTGGCACACCTGGAGGCAAGACACTTGCCTGTCCCCGCGGGCTGTGTCACATACACCCTCCAGCAGAGACAGTGTCATGGCTGCCATGAGGCTGTCTCGTGAAGACACTCTGAGATGCGCTAAGCCTTTCCGCATGGGACAGTAATGGAAAGGCAGAGAAGTGGTAAGAGCATTCGCTAATTTTTATCAAAGAGCAGATGTCGGCACCTCATTTTTTATAACCAAGTATCATTAATGATAAACGAATGCCACCATTACAATTTCTCTTTGCTTCTCCGGAAATATTAGTTTCAGAGCGTTACACATAGAACATGAGATGTGTGGTGTGATGAACACACTGGTCCTGGGCCACGGTTCTGTGGCATCGGGGGCCTTGTTCAATGTTCCTCTGGGGACCCATGCGGCTATATGCTGGGGAAGGCAAAGGGGGCTTTAATTTATTTAAGAGTAGGTTCGTAATCCTTTGTCTGCATCTGCAAAATGTTTGGAAGCTCTATCCTGTGTGCTCTGGTATTCTTGAAACTTTCAGAGGTTAGGACTAGGTATTTCCCAGGGAGACACTTGGCCTGCCGGATGCAGCAGCTGGCGGGAAGAGACTGTTTCTGAGTAGTTCAGGGAGCTGAAGATGCCCAGTAAAGAAGTGGCCACGGGGACGATCCCCAGCTGACTGACCTGTGAAGTGCCCTCTTTGTAAGCCATGACCAAGACACCGGGCAGGTGCACCTCCCTCAAGAAGCTCTGGGAAGAGCTCTTTGACCCCACAGGGCCAGCAACCCCCTTCCACCACCTCGAGGCACCTGTGGCCTGGCCTGGGGAAGTCCCTTTCATCTCCAGCTGGCAACAGCAGGAAGAAAATGGCACCCGTGGGAACCCCAGTGGCACCAGACGAACCGAGTTGACCAAAGTAGACCCACAGGGTCTCTAAAATCAAATATCATCAGAAGCACAGCCCACAAAAGTAGGCAAGTCACGCACAGTGAATGGGGTGACCACCTGCAAAAGTTGAAGAGGTATATGGACCCGGCGTCACCTAACGTGATAGCCCGATGTCCAGAATGCTGTCGAAAATTACTTGTTATACCAAGAACCAGGAAAATCACAACTTTAATGAGAAAAGATAATCAACCATGGCCAGCAGGGAAATGAGTCAACTCCTGGAATTGTCCAGCCAAGGATTGCAAAGCAGGTTCATAAAAAAGGCATCAAGGGGTGATTACAAATTCTCTTGAAAGAACTGAAAGCAACAGAGTAGCAGGGAACCCAGACATACCGCTGAAGGTGAGTGGCCCGGCCAGCTTCATGAGGGCGATGTCGTTGCCCAGCCTCTTGGGTTTGTACTTGCTGTGGTAGATGATTTTTTCCACCAGATGGGAAGGGGCTGGACTGTCCAACAGGGAAACCAGCCCCACCTGGATTGTCCAGGACTTGGGGAGGTACAGGCTGAAACGAGAAGGCGGAGAGTTGAAGCAGGAGCACCCCGTGCATTCCCCAGGCAGGCCTCGATGCCTTCGCCTCCAGACTTCTCAGCATCTGAGGGGTCTGTCAGGACCCATTCTCCATCAGACAGCAGCCAAAACAAAAACAAAAATGGAGAATTGACCTCTGGGGTTTGGAAGTCCTCCTGTGGTTTTTTCCCCCCGTGCTCACCTCCCCCGAGACCCTGCCTGGGAGGCCGGTGCCCACCCGGCAGGAGCCACCTCTCAGTCTCTTGGCCACAGCATGCTCCCCTGTAAGTTGCTAGAGGGAGGTCGGCCATTTTCCTCCTGCAAGGAAGCTTCCGTCCAAAGCTTTCTCCCTTCTCTGTAAGAGAGGCAGGTCTGAAATCCTTAGAATGAGCTCAGCATCACCAGTCACAGCCAGCAGGGACAGTGATGGGTCCACTCCACTGGACTTTACTTTGTGACCATCCAGTCAGTTTGCCCGCTTTCTGGGCCTGCTGCTGACCACTGGAATCTTCCCCATCCTAACATGGCCCAGTCTAGACGGGGTCTGCGGGCGAGGAGCACTCACTCATAGACGCAGTGCGCGGCAGTGACAATCCACACGGGGGTAATGACAGAGCCCCCGCACAGGTGATAGCCCTGGAACTGAAGGCTGGCCTGCCACGGCCACTGCATGAGCGAGGACACATTTCCACCCACGATGCGTGAGCTGTAGCCCATTCTCAGACCACACACTGCAGAGAGAGAATAAGGGCTGGGGGTCGATCCCACAGACCTTTCTGGGGAACCTGCTGTCACACCCACAGACCAACCCCCCCCCCGACAGCCTGCTGTCCTTGCAGAGCTCACAGCCCAGAAAGAGAGCCGGAGGGGGCGGGGGTGGGAGCAGACGTAGGGTGCAGTGGGAAGGTCTGGCGCTGGCAGCGCCCCTCCCCACGACGCCCATGACCCCAGTATGACCACCACTCACCAGGAGCACAGGAACCTTCTGCAGCCCTCTCCTCAGTAATGCAGGGCTATGCTGCACCTACCTGACTTCTCCAGACCCCACCCCTGCAGTGTGAACCCTCCCTCTGCCAGGGGCGCCTGCCATGGGGCAGGGAGCCTGGGGCACTGACCAGCCTGGGCACACTTTTCCTTGAGGTGGGAAGGGGGAGTGGGAAGGAGAAAGTGACAGTGAGTCAGGCTGCTGGAGCCACTGCCGAGTGACAGGGCATCATGGACCACGGTCCTATCTGCGGCAGAGAAGTTGCTCCAGGCTGCCTCCCCACCCCCCGCCCCCCAGCCCGCTAACAGATGAGACAGACTGACGCTGCTCTCCTCCTCCATCAGGTGGGGTCTGCAGGGTTCCCACCTGGCACCTAGGATGGGGGGACCCCAAGCAGTCTGAGGAGGCGAGGGAGACCGGAGTCTGTGAGCGCGCGCGTGTTTCCATTTCTCTCTGCTCTGCGAAATCTCTTACCTGCACACTTCAAGGTAACCACACGACCCGAGGCACACCCCTCCCTAAGGAGCAAAAGAGGAGGTTTACGGTCAGGGAAATGAGCACTTTTTTTCAACTTAATCTTGGGATAAAAGAAAAATGAACTCTATTTCCCTGCTCTTTAATACAGATTGCAATTTTTGTCCATATTAAAAAAAAAACCACACGCGTGTGAGGTCACTCATTCCGAAACATTTGGCTACAGTGATGTATTGTGCATGTGACAGGTGACTGAGTGTTTCTAAGCTTTGTAGAGCTAATTATGGGAGAGGCAGGAAGAGGGCTGTGATATAAACATCACTGGTATCGTTTGCAGGTCAGCTTTAGCCCAGGCTTCTTCGCTGGCCCCTGGAGGACACAGAGTGCCCTTCGGACAGCATGGCAGGTGTCCCTGCAGCCTGGATCACGCTCCTCCCCAGAGCAGAGCTGTGATTGCCCCAGAAAGGACACGTGCTCGCCCTTGCACCGGGGGGCGGGGGGGGGGCAGGGAATGTGCATTTCTTAGAATCCACCTGTGTCCCTTTGTGACTTTCCCTGCCTTTAGAGCCCCAGGCCGCTCATGCAATCATGCAAGATAAAGGGGGGGGGGTCACTAGACGGAGGTTTTAGGACTTAAGAGATGAGCTGTCCCCACAAAGTCCGGGGTGACTATCAATTATGTGATGGACAGGCTGACAAGCTGTTGTTTCCCAGAGCAGAGAACACCCTCCTGGGATTTGGCCCAGAGTGCCAGGAGGAGCACATGGGGATGCCTGACTGTAGAGGCAGGGGACACACTAGGCTGTGGGCGCCATCATTTACGGGCACCTCCTTTTACTTTTCTCACGGGTTGCCGGGGGAAACATGGAATAGGAATCGTAAATGTTAAAGCACCCTGTGGACAGAGGATACGTGTCTTTCTTAATCTCATTCTTTCCAGTTTCCTTGTCCCTCTGCCCTTTTCTGCACACACCCCTGGGGCCCATGATGAGAACAGCATGACCCATGCAGCACTGCTTACCACCCTCCTCCCCCTCTCTGTCAGGCCATGTTCGCCTGTTCTGGGCTGGGTTCTTGCACGCCAGCCGGTGCTCCCTCCACCCAGTCTAACCGAGGCGGCCAAGCCCCCACCTTGCATTTGGAGACACACTCTCAAGTCGCTTGGGTCCTCGTGGGGCCGTGCACAGCTCAACAAAGCCAGCAGGTGACGCAGTGCAGACAGCGGCACCGCCTCGCCGCTCACCTCACATACACGGAGTGGTGCAGAGCGCTCACTTTGTCATCGGGCAAGAGGTGATTGATGGACGCAAAGTCCTCCTGGAGCTGCTCCTCGAGCAAGTCCACCCTGAGGGTGTCTGAACTCACGTAGCTGCAAGTACATTGGAAATGCAGACCCGAAGCGTGAATTCACTCTGGGCTTCAAACCAACCAGTGCTCGTGTCAGAATACTACACGTATCGTACTGGGGGGATGTCATTCCCTCCCCCAACCATCAACAGCTTCCTTTGCTGGCTTAGGAAGGCATTCCAGATCTTGCATTGTCTGGGACCATGGACCCATCTGGCCCCCACCCCGCAGCCCCCCTGCCCATGGCAGGCTCTGGGCATGCGCCAGGGAGCCCACTTCCTGATGTAGCTAAGTAGCCCCCCCTTGACGCATCTGGCTGAACTGACCTTTGCTTGGCCTGAAGCAAGCCCCAGAGAGAGCAGAACACGGAACTAGGCGGAGTATTTTCAGGTGGGACCAGAGTGGGGGTGCTGAGAATCCAAGAGGAATAGGTCAGGGAGAACGAAAGCCAGAGCTGGGGTGGGTTCCCATTGGAGAGAGACGAACACAGAAGGAAAAGGCTCAGGGCCCCCCGGCAAATGTTTAAAGTGTCAGGAAACGGGTCTTCTGGAGAACAACAATAAAGAAGACGTGATCTTTAAAAAAAAAAAAATCAAGTGTTTGAAGAGTTATGAGATGAGGGGTAGTAAATGAAAGGCATTCCTCCCCTTTTCTCATGGAATGAACAAAACACGAGGCAGCTGGCTCGCTTCACTCACTAACACACCCGTTTATCACACAGGATTGCATCTGGTTACGGAAATGCCATGGCGGGGGAAAGGGGGGGAGTAGATGTAGAATACAAAGTGCAGTGGAGTTTGAGTTTGGAGAGCAATGACCCTCCCAGCCCTCCCGGGACGGCTCAACCGCCAATAGGGCAGGCGCCAGGTGACAAGCTGATGAGCCGGAGAGCTGTGAGATGCATGGGGGCCCCGAGGGCCACCCCAGGATCCCCATAAATGGCCCAGCCTCCAGGTGGTCGTAACCAGCCCAGCCACCAGCTCTCCCAGGGCGTTCTTGTGTTCCAGGCTCACTCCGACGCGAACCTCACACCGCCCTTCAAAGCAGGTGCTACTATTGTCCCTGTTTTGGAGGCTGAGTCAGGGAACTGGGCTGAGGACACAGGGATTCGAACCCAGGCGATCCGGCTTGATAGTACCCCCTTTTGCTGTCATCCAGATAGCTGACATGGGATACAGCCGAGCAGAGAAGATCAAAGAAGGGCTTTAAGGAGAGAAGTAGGAAGAAAAAGCAAAAAGGCTACAGAAGTAAATCTTGGAATTGAAGCATTGATACGGAAGGGAAGAACGGGTTACTAGGGAAGGAAGGCGGCCGTGCTGAGGGGCGATCTGGGAAAACCACGTTGGCTGGACTCCCACTGAGGGTACACACCAAGTGTAAGAGGGACCATGTCAGCGTGGCTGGGCGCACAGGGATCTGAGGGAAAGGGGTCTCTGGGCCCTTCTGCATAGTAGACGGGGGCCTGGGCATCCAGAGGAAGGGATGGCACTCCACGAGGGAGAGGGAAGGGAGCCAGGAAGGGTAGGGGCTCCCCCAGCGAGTCCAAGAAAGGGCCTCCATAGGGAACAGAAGTGCCCGGGGAAGCTTTCAGCTGTTTGCAGTGGTGGTGGTGGTGGTGGTGGTGGTGGTGTGTGTGCGCACGTGTGTGTGCATGAGGCATGTGAGTGTGCATGTGTGTAACTTAGTGTTTGTGTAATGTGGTGGTGTGTTTGTGTACATGAGTAATGTAGTGTGTGATATGTGTGCAGTGTGGTATGTAGTATGTGTATGACGTGGTGTGTTGTGTGTATACTTGTGTCTGATATGGTATGTGTGTGATGCATGTGTACGATGTGGTATATAATGTAACGTATGTGAATGCTTGTGTGTGTTTATGTGGCGGGTGGCATGCACAGTGTATGTTTGTGTGTGTGTGTGCACGTGTGGTGTGTGTGTGTGCACGTGGTGTATGTGCGTGTGTGGTGTGTCTGTGTTGTGTGCATGTGGTGTGTGGTGTGTGTACATGGGGTGTGCGTGTGCTGTGTGCATGTGGTGCACATGTGTATGTGTGTGTGGTGTGTGCATGTGGTGTGTGTGCATGTGGTATGTGTGCATGTGTGGTGTGTGCATGTTGTTTGTGCATGTGTATGTGGTGCGTGTATGTGTGGTGTGTGTGCACATGTGGTGTGTCTGTGCACGTGGTGTATGTGTGTGTGTGGTGTGCATGTGTGTGGTGTGTGTGGTATGTGTACATGGGGTGTGTGTGTGCCCGTGTGTGTGTGCGTGTGGTGTGTGTGTATGTGATGTGTGTATGTGGTGTGGTGTGCATGTGGTGTGTGTGCGTGTGCACGTGCATGGTGTGCGTTTGTGTGGTGTGCGTGTGTGCCTGTGTGGTGTGTGCATGTGTGTGTGCGCGTGTGCACGTGTGTGTGGTGTGCGTGTGTGGCGCATGCATGTGTGTCTGCACATGTGTGTGCACATGTGTGATGCGTGCATGTGCACGCATGTGTGTGCATATGTGTGCGTGTGTGCATGTGTGGCATGTGCATGTGTGGTGTGTGTGTGCCCGTGTGTGTGTGCATGTGTGGCACGTGCATGTGTGGTGTGTGCATGTTGTCTGTGCGTATGTATGCGGTGCATGTACGTGTGGTGTGTGTGCACATGTGGTGTGTCTGTTCCCGTGGTGTATGTGCGTGTGTGGTGTGTCTGTGTGGTGTGTGTGTGGTATGTGTGCATGGGATGTGTGTGCATGCAGTGCGTGTACATGTGGTGCATGTGTGTATGTGGTATGTGTGTGTGTGCACGTGTGTGGTGTGTGTGTGCATGTGTGGCATGTGCATGTGTGTGTGCATGTGTGGCATGTGCATTATGTGTGCATGTGTGGCGTGTGCATGTGTGGCGTGTGCATGTGTGGCGTGTGCATGTGTGTGGCGTGTGCATGTTGTCGGGTGTGCATGTGTGGCGTGTGCATGTGTGGCGTGTGCATGTGTGTGGCGTGTGCATGTTGTCGGTGCATGTGCATGCGGTGCGTGTGCGTGTGGTGTGTGTGCGCATGGGGTGTGAGCCCCCTCCTTCCCGTCTGCGAGGGGTGAAGTCTACATAATCCTGGGAGGCATCTCTGTGGGTGGTTTGGCTGTTGTCACAGGGCTGAACTGCCGCTGATTCCTGAATCCAGGTTGTCACAGGTGAGAAGGATGCGGTCTCAGGGACACAGGCTGGGGGACATTGGGGTGTCACGGGCACTGGAGAAAGGAGCTGAGAGACTGATGTGCCAGATCCAAAAATTGAGGCTCCCTGGATTCCAAGCAGTTTCCGGCTTTAATGCCCAAGTCGGGGAACTGGGCCGAGGACATGGGGATTCAGGTGCAAACACCCAGGAGCCTGGGAACTCAGAGAGCCTACCCGCTTTGAACCCCGGGGGGCCAGGAGCAAAGGGGGTTGGGTGCCGTGGTGGGGGGCCACAGGGACAGCAGGGCCGGGGGTCAGAGGAGGGGCCGGGAGAGAGGAGGAGAGAAATGTGTCCCCTCGGCACAAAATGTCACGTAGACAAAACCAAACGCTGAAAAGTGAAGACCCCACTCCCAGCGCTGTCCCTCCTACATGTTGCCAAACAACTGTTTGAAGTGATTGTGTTTTCCCTAAATGGCTGGCTTTTCAAACTTGGGTCTTTGGGGCTCCTGGGAAGTGTGCACACACATCCGTGGGGCCACCGGCACCCGGCGCGTGGGGGCCACGTAGCCACCCTCTGGCTGTAGCCTGAGCAGCTGGGGGCTCGGAAGTTCTCTATTTCCTGTGTGCATCTGGGGTCCTGTCTTGACCATGAGACACCCCCAAACGTGCCCCTTCCCGTGTGACTGATCAAGCCACTTAGGCGGGGGCTTGGTGTGCCCACCTGGGGCGCAAGGATGACATCAAGGTTGCCGTGGGGATGCGGCATGACGGTGAGCAGCCGCACCCTGTAAATGCCCCACTAAGAGGTGGCTCTCTCTCCCCATTGTCACCACGAACAAATGCTTTACCATCAGCAGGAAATGTTCTTTAAATTACCTTGGAAACCCCAGCTGGGCGCAGGCGACGTTAGCATGGAGGCCTCTCCAATCGTCAGAGCACACGGTTCTCCACGCCGCAGCTGTGAACACCTGGAGCACTGCGTTCTGGCCGCTCACGCGGACTGCCCGGTGCACAGGACGAACAGGGTGTGAGCGGCCCGCCGAGCCTGAGCCCACGGGCAGAGATCACTCTGCTCCCTGCTCTGCTGAATCTGTCCTGCCCCTAGCCCGCAGCACCCCCACCCTGCAGGGCAGGGCAGTTCTTACTGCCTGGACCCCCTGAGGTGCTGTGTGTGTTCTCCCCCAACTGAAATTTGACCCCACGTAACGGTCCTCTTCCCTGTGCTCCCAGCTCAGTCACCCCTGGGGATGAATGGCAGGTGGATCACAGTTAAGGACGTGCCTTGACAGTGGCATGGATTTGGACCCACTGCACGGATGGGTAAGGTCAGGGTTGGGTTGTCCTTCTACCGTGAGGAGCGTGGCCTTACCACACCGGTACTCATCCTCCCCGTCTCTGCAGTCTGAGACCCCGTCACATCGAGCCGTCAGGTCAATACACTTAAAAGATGAGCGACACCTGTACTTTCCAGAACAATCGAAGTGGACTGAGGAAAGGAGGGGACAAGGGCGTCAAGGAAGGGCTGGCTTCTTCAGTGGACAACACTAGCTACCATCCACTGGCCACGCGACCTTGAGCTTGGCCATCAGTAACGGAACCTGCATTGAAATTGCAGCCTGTTTCCCTCAGCCCAGTTTCTGTTCCAAATTCCAGAGGGTGGGGCTGCTGCACCCCACTTTGTCTCACTGTGGCCTTGAGCCACAGGTCTGGGGCTCAAGGTCAAGAAAGAAAATGCATGGCTGCGGGCCGACTGGCTAAGCCGGCTGAGCAAGGAGTTCCGAGTGAGAACTACTCGGCCCCCAGTCTACCTCCTATTGTCTCCGACCCTGGGCAAGAAGAGAAGGGACCAGGGACCACACAGCTGAGCAGGTGGGCCGGTTATTTGAAAGAGAAGAGATATTGTTCCCTATCAGAGTCCATCCAAATGACTCACTTTCTCAAAAGCCACATGAACCTTCTTTTTAAAATAGCAGGTATGCTTGGCCTTGCATGAATGGCCTCCTTGTGTTCTCCTGGCCCCTCACCCCCTCCCACCCGCAGAATCCTATTTCATCAGCTGCCTTTCAGTACTTCTAACTGGGCAGGTTCCTTGGTGACAAAGCCCCGTGCATGGCCAACAACCCCTCCTGGGCCCCAGGCTGGCCCTACATTCATGCAGGCAAAGAAAACTCAAAGTCAGCAAGCCCAAAAGAGGTTTGCCTCCAGTAATTAAGGCTGGGTGGCAGCACCCCGCCGGTGTGAGCGGGGAGCTCATCAAAGTTTAAATGCCTGGACAGGCATTCGAGAGCCCACTAAATAATGAATCGTACTCACTGCCTAGACCGATGGCCAGTGCTAATATCAAGGCAATGATCCCAATGACAATGATGGGAAAGAACTTCAGTGGGAGCAGGGACAGTATCTGTGCCGCAACTGCATCCGCGTCTGGAAACCGAAAAGGTGGGGGAAGAGCAAAAAGCCACAGAGCAGCGGATTTGAATAAAATAAAACTCAAAATTGAGCTACCCATCCCCTCTCCCCTCAAAGCAGAGAATTTGGCCCAAAGAAAGTTGCCGTAGTTAGACCAAAGGCCACCTATCCGGGGACACTGCTCCAGGGGCTCAGCCCCATGCTCTCCACCCCTGACCCACTTGTGTCCATCCCGGGTTAGGGGATGGTGTTACTGACTGAATTGTGTCCCGCCCCACCCCTCAGTATGTTGAAGTTTGGACCCCAGAATATCATCTTATTTGGAAATGGAGTTTTTACAGAGGCCATCAAATTAAAACAAAGCCATCGTGTGGGTCTAATCTCATCTGACTGGTGTCCTTTAAAAAGGGGACAGTTGAAGCCAGACACAGACATGCACATAGAAGGGAATGGTGTGAAGAGACACAGGACACCATGTGAAAATGGGGGTGATGAACCTACAGGCCAAGGAACCCCAAAGATTATCAGCAAACACCAGAAGCTGGGGAGAGGCGAGGAAGGGTTTCCCGCAGGTTTTAGCGAGAACACAGCCCTGCCGGCACCTGGGCTTCAGTCTTCTGGTCTCCAGAACCATGAGACTATAGACCTGTGTTGTTCTAAGCCACTTAGTTTGTCGTCCTTTGTCTCTGCCGCCCTAGGAAACTGGTAGAGGAGGGAAGTGGAGCCCAGGTCCCCAGAAACGCTTCCCCACAGAGGGCGGTGACACGTAAAACCCAAACAGGGTACTCTGAGGAGAGGGAGGGCTGGGGCCTCTGAGGGAGTCACCAGATGATGTAGCAGCCCATTCTCCGTGAGTCTGGTGCATGGTGACACCAACAGCCTTGTCCCAGACCGTCCCCCTGAGGATGCTGGCAGAGCAAGCAGCCTTAGAAGATAGAGATGATATCTCTCTCTAGAGCAAGGAGCAGGTTTACTTATTGTCTGGCTTAACAAATACAATGTCTTCCTTTGGGACAAAGTGTGTGCAGGTCTGCTTGCACTCCATTATAAAAGATTTGAGTTGCCTTGGTTCTGGGTTCCCTCGTGTGATGCAGACCCCCTGGGCCTGCAGAGTATCCCTGGGCTGTTCCACATCACCACCGTGGGGCTGGGCGGGCATGGGTAACTGACTCGAACAGGACGCATGTGCTGCTCGTTCCATGAGTAACAACGTCCTCCGTGTCTGACCCGGGAGTCTCCTGTCTTCTGCCAACATCCAGCAAACCGGGCAGGCTGATTTGTTCGGTTGCAAGTAGGGTAAACCCCAGACCTGACCCAGTTCTTGCCAAAAGAACCAGACAGATTGGATGAAAAAGAGGATGCCCTATATAAGCGTCACGATGCCCCAAAGTACAAGCATCTCTGGGCAACCAGGAGAATTTCCATCAGCACATTTACTCCAAGGAGAACAGGCCCCTTCATGCAAATTATCTCATCAATCCTGAAAATACACCTATGCCGGCGTTGTCCCCACTTACACCGGGGAAGGTGGGAGTGTGGGAAGGGCAGACAGCCTTCTTCCCAGCACACGGTTACTCAGGACACGATGTCCCTCCCCCTCACACCCTAGGCTTAGAGATGTTGAGCTGAGAGGGCTCCCACAGAAAGCCTCCTGAAATCTCCCCCTGCCTGTCTTTGGAAACCCACAACTTCACCCTCTGGCAATACAGGGTGTGCTTATAAAATGGCCAATATCATTCAGGGCTCCTTAAAAAAGAAAGAATTTGAAGACAAAAATGGGGGGGGAGGTGGGAGAGAAGGAGAAGAAGAGTAGGAGAAGGAACAAGGAAGAGGGAAAAGGAAGACATTAGGGAGACTAAGGAAAGGCACACAGTCCGTGGCCTGAAGGATGTAGAACGAGGAGGGGGAGGCAGAGGGCAAGGTCTTTGTCTTGGCCACGTTGAGCAGGCAGTTTGCTCTGCAGCTGTGTTCTCAGAGCCTAGACCAACACCTGGTGCGCCGCAGTCCTTGATAAATACAGCTGACCCTTGAACAACGCAGGTTTGAACCGTGCGGGTCCACTTACACGCGGATTTTTTATAGTACCGTACCTCAAATGTATTTTCTCTTCCTTAAGATTTTCCTAATAACACTTTCTTTCCTCTAGCTGACTTTATGGTACGAACACGGTGTATAATACGTGTAACACACAAGATACTTGTTAAGTGAGTACGTGATCAGGAAGGCTTCTGGTCAATAGTAAGCTATTAGTTGTTAAGTTTTGGGGGAGCCAAAAGTTATAAGTAGATTTTTGACTAGGTGGGGAGTCAGCAACCTACTCCCACCCCTGTGTTGTTCAAGGGTCAACTGTATCAGTCAATGGAATGGATGAATGACATCATGATAATGGAGGTTGTTTTATCTCAGCATGGGAGACCAATTCCTTCCAGGGCAACCAATCCGTGGTCTTGAGTTTACAGAGCAGACTCTTCTTTCCAGCCTTTCCCACCCCCAGAAGCCTGCACCAAATTAATAACTCCCCCTTACTGAGAGCCCACACTCCACTTACACTTAAAAATCAGCAGGAACCCCAAGAATGACCTCTTATCATTTCCAGTTGCTCTGTGTCTAAGAGTTAGATTTAGGAAATTCATCCTAATTATAGATTCCAAGATTGCTGCTCAATTAGAACCTTTGTATCATTCACATTTGCCCCTTTACAGCTCAGCTGCCATGGTGCCCTGTGGGCGCTACCATGGCCCCGCTCCCCCTCCTTGTTCTGTCTTTGAGAGCATGCCTGGAATAAAAAGCAAAATGCATAGCAGCTTCCCAAAAAAGAAATGCAAATGATCAACCAGCACGAAAAAACCTTCAACCTCTCTGGGAATCTGAAAAACTGCAAATCAAATGTAACTACATATCAACCTCACAATATTTATTATGATTGCTGTTGTAGCATCCCCACTGCAGTCCAAAGTGAAAGGAAATGGACCTCCACTTATAGTCAAGAGGAGTATACGTTGTATAAACTTTTTGAGAGTCAAATTGGAAATACGAACCAGAAGGCTTAAAAATGGAATTTTTGACCTAGTAAAACCACTTTCAAGAATTTATCTTAAGATGTCATCATTGATGTACATAAATTTCTACCTATATGGACACTTAGAGAGGTGGCATATGTAATACTGATGCGTGGGAAACAGCCTGAATGCCCATCAGAAGAAACTGGTGATAGAACACATGTATAGAGTTAGTTCCATAATAGGGAAAGGGAGTTGGCAAACCTCCTCTGTAAAGGACCAGTTAGTAAATATTTTAAACTTTATGAGCCATATAGTCTCTGTTACAACTGCTCAACTCTACTATGGCATTAAGGCAACCATAGACAATAGGTGAATAAATGGATGTGTCTGTGTTCCAATAAAACTTTATTTATAAAACCAAGGAGTGGGCCACATTTGGTCCATGAGCCATAGTTTGCCAACCCCTAAAGAACATTTAATTATTTAATGCCATGGAAAGAAGAACATGATATTGTTTCATTTGGGGGGGGGAAGCTTCAAAATAGAATATGCCACTTCCAAAGGAAAATACAGGTATGTAGATCAGAAAAAGGCAAGAAATCCAATACTAAAGCACAAATAAGTTTATCTCTGAGTAATGGTAAAATTGTGGGTAATTTTTAAAACTCTTTTTGATTAACTGTGTTTTCTAAATTACTATAATGAACAATACATTGCTTATTTATTTAAAGCACTACTAAATTCCCACTGCTAGGAATTAATCATGAAGAAATAAGCAAAATTAGCAGAGGTGAATATGTATAGTGTTATTCATGCTCATATTATCTGTACTATAAAAATATTAGAAACAATTGTATGTCAAATGAGGATTTAAAAAACTATGTAAATTACACATCTACTTGATGGAATGTTGTGATGTTATAAACAAAAGGCATATATAAAAACCAAGTAGCACATGGGAAAACACCTGTCTATACCTACGGTGTGCTTGAATGCGTACTTACGGGCAAGGACAGAAAGAGAATGAAGGCAAACATAAAAACCAGGTAAATCTTGGGGGTCAGGTGATAGCAGGGTATTTTTTAAATGTAAATTTATGTTCATTTTTTGAGTTGTATTTTTAAATTATGTATCCTTGCCTTTTCTTGGAACCTGTCCTCCCACCTCCCATATTCTCTACCACCCCCCAACCTCAATTGTCCAGAGGGTTTAAAAGGAATCATTAGGGCAGCCCCCACTCCATGCTTTCTGGAACCTCAGCCAGAGCCCCTAGGCAACCCCCGTGCTGGCCCCAGAGGTCAGCATTCCAGCTCACTGTTCCAAGTCCTGCATTTGAGACCTATTTACAAAACCAACTCTCCTTGTTGCTCAGAGCAACCCTTGTCCCCTGCTATTGGATTTTATTCTAGGCATCAAATACCTTCAGCAATGCCCAGCTTACTCTAAGTTTCCCGGAAGAGCTGATGAACATTGGTTCTCAGGACTTTCTGGGGGGCTCAGAGATCTTCTGGCAGGACCTGACCCCTCACTCCCAGGGGCAATGGGAGCCTCAATTTCTGAAAACCTCCATCCAGAGAATGCAAGCTTCTGTCTCCAGGAGTTGGCAAGGGGCTGAACAAGGTGATGCCCCTCTCTAATGCCCCCCTCTCCAGGGTTCTATAAACCCAAGGAAGTGCAAGCATCCAGCTTGTGGGTGTGAGAAATCCTGGTGAGGATGTCCCCAGAGGGACACTCTGGGGACACTTCCCCAGAAATCACACCTGGTTCCACTTACCTGGTGCAACAGGACTTATTTTCAAATCGTCAAGTCCAAAAAGTGATCTGAAGGAGAAGGGGGCTTCCGTGGCAGGTGGGTCATTCTCTCCCATGGTGACTATTTCAGGACCTCTGAGGTTTGGCTCCACCTCCTTCACCAGGAAGAACAGAAAGCATTTGCTCCCTTATTTACAGTTTTAGTGTCCAACGCATCTTTGTCATGTTAAATCTTTGAAATCCAACAATCCACATAAAGCACATTCAGTACCCATTAATCAAAAGTATGTGTCCAGCGAGAACGCATTTTTTTTCTGAGCCACAGCAGGTAACAGAGAAACTTCCGGAGTTAACGAAAAACTATGAACTGAATTCTGCTAAAATAATGACTTTCTCACTGTGTATTCCTACCAATTTTAAAATCAGTTGACTAGCAATCTTTAGAGATATGCCCTTTTACGATTTAGAAATTACTGCACCTTTATTTTTCAGAAGATAAATCACTTTCAAAGCACTTTCCTTCTCTTTTTTGTCATTGTTCTTTGTCCCACGGAAACTCAACCCTTTGCCTACACATGCATAGGACACATATGATAGGACACCTATCATAACCGTAAGAAGTTTTTTATACTCACACAATGTCCACGCCCAAAAAATGTAGATGGCACCAGGGAGGGGACACTCACCCACAGTATTTGTAGTTTTCCGTACACACAGCCCTTCCCTGGCTCTCGCGGGCATGACCTAGTTAAGGATGAAAGTATCCGTGCCCTCTGGGTGCCCAGTCCCCCACACAGCAAAGGGAGGAGCAGCTGGGGACCAGCTATGCACCAGCTTGCACCAGCTACACTGGGGCTCTGTTTCCTCCAAGAGAATTCCACCCATCGCAAAGTGAGAGAGGTCAGAAGCCTCTGGAAATCATTCCCGTAACTCTAAGAGGGGCGGAGTAAGCAAGGAAATGGCGGAATGTTCCCAACTAAATCCCAACTCACCCTCCCAGGTATCAGTCAGGCATGAGTTCTCTGGGAACCTGCTTCTTCAAAGTAGGTTCCAACAGGCATAGAAACATAGATACTTAAATCACCCATTTTCAATTTCTGTTTACTGGTTGTAATGTTTGAGATTCAACAAGAAACTGTTAAGCCATTTAACACAAACTCTGTCTTCAAGTTGCTTCACGTGGTCTTAGGAAAATTGAAGCGAGAGTTATGCACTAAAAATATTTATTTCATTTCCATCTCAAAAATGGCTCTGAAAAGTATCTTAGAAAACTAGTAAATTCACATCCGGATTTTTGCTTTTGATTCTTGCTGATACTTGCCGCGTACTATCAGCATGTGGCAAATTACGCAGCTTAAATATTTATGATCAGAATAAGAACAAGTGGTAAAATGCTTTCTGAAACTTTGAACCTAGGCATGGAAGTCCCTTCCCAAACAGGCCGTCGTCGGTCAGTTTCACGACACTGAGAAACGTTGAGAAATCCTTTCTCAGAAGCATCGTCTCTCCCCCACCCACTTTACTCACCATTTCCGGGGCCGCCATCATTAAAAGCAGAAATATTTTCCTTTTTCATTATAAAAGCCAGTGTGATGGTAAGCAGGCTGCCAACAGGTTCTACCAATCAGGAAATACTTCCACCAAGTCACTCAGCCTTGTCGACTCAATCATCACAGCAAACAGCATTATCACGGGCATCTGTGTAACCCGACCTGGATGTGGCTATCAAGTGGCCATTGGTGGTAAGACTGCAGAGACCAGGCAGGGGAAAAATGTGACTTGCCTTTAATTAGTAAGTAAGGTAAGCAAACCTTTTCAGAAACTTCACATAAGAGTCTTCGGAACACAGACACTCCTTTTATAAGAGAACAGATAGGTCCTGCCCGGTGCTGAGCAAGCACACCAAGAGGGGCAGGCAAAAAGCTCTGGCAGGGGTTTCTATCTCTAGGCGTGACTGACTTACAGCTGCTCTGCAGACAAAAGAGAGGGAACGTGAAGTTGTTCTCACAGTGAGCACTCCATAGAGACACTTCACACTCCATTCTGCAAAGGGCCTCTACATTCTGAGGGGTTTCTGCACACAATACAGCTATAAGATGTTTTATCGGGAGAGAACATAGCCCTGCTGCTGTGGGCAGGGAACTGAGCCCCTTTGGAAGTCTAGTGGAGCAGAGCTAGATGCATTCATTTATTCACCAAATATTTATGAGCCATCTGCCATGAGCCAGGCATCTAGACTCAGAGCAGATGGCAGAGAGGACAAAGCATTCATCTGTGGTCTCAGGTGATGACAAATGCAAGGAAGAGATGATGCTGGGAGAGGCTTAGAGAGTGATCAGGCAGGGTGGCGGAGGAAGACTTCTAGGAAGAAGTGGTATTTCAGTGGAGACCTCATTGATGAGATAAAGAAGATCTTATGAGCTAAGAGGGGAGATTGTTCCAAGCACAGGACCATCAACTCCAAAGGTCTGGAGAAGATGAGCTGGGGGGTGTTTGAGGAACCCCAAGAAAACCTATGTGCTTGGAAATTGGCAGATCATGGAAGGCCAGAGCCATTGGAAGGACTCTGGTTTGGTTTCCATGTGATGAAAAGCCACCAAAGAGCTGAGCAGGGCAAAGTCAGATCTATGCATGTGTACAAAGTGTAGGAACAGAGGTGAATTCACAGAAAGCCAGCAGAAGCTACTAAAAACCTGGGCCACCATGGCAGTGACTTGGACCAAGATGCTGGTGGGGCAAATGGGGAGCAAAAGCTGGATTTGGGATTTTAAAGATAGAGTTGGCAGGATTTGCCAGTGACAACGATAGCTAGAGAGATATATTCAGCCACTTGTGGTTTAACCCAGTTTTGTTTTCCTGCCTTCCGGCACCTGCCCACACACCTCTCAGTGTTTTTGGATTTAAGACTGGGGATCCTTCAAGCTCATACACCCCTCCTTTACATCTTTCTTAACTGCTCTCTCTAGTTCTTGAACAAACCTTTGCCTTCAAAGACAGGGATAGAAAACTTAGAACTTACTTCTTTCTTTGTTTTCACCTGAGTGCTATAGGTGATGCCCCAATGGAGTACCACTCTCAGAGGACAGTCTAGAATGTATCATTGTGGCACTTGACACAGTGATGAGTGTGTGATAGGCTCCAGGTACATGGATGAGCTGATCATAAACTAAGGTGGCGGAACAATACTGAGTAGACATGTAGAAAACCAGAAGCAATCATGAATTCACATATGTCATATTAATACATTAACATGTTAGCATCTTGGGATGTGTGTCAAATGAGGTCAGTTTGCCTGGATATAGCAGGGAGATGACCCATGATGGTGGCTGAACTTCTACCACCATACAGTAGCCTCTCAGAAAGCTACCTACAAATTGACTCCATCAATCTCAAAATGAAACTTTAAGGAAATAGAAATCAGCATACCTAGGGCTGGCATTCACCGAGGTGGTGTCTTCCATGGTCTTTGTTTAGAGGTATGAGAAGGTGAGGGGACCCCCTGAGGGGTCCTCTAGGAACTGTGAAGTTTTTGTAACCGTTTGCACGCAGCTTGAGTTCTGAGCATTGTCTCAATCTCCACCTTTTTTTTTTTTTTTTTTTTTTCTTTTTAAAAACAACTTCTTATCTTATCAATTCTTTTTGAGAGAGAGCAAGAGCAGAGTGAAGGGCAGGGGTGAAGCAGGCTCTCCACTGGGCAGGGAGTCCAATGTGGGGCTCGATCCCAGGACTCTGGGACCATGACCTGAGCCAAAGGCAGACGCTTAACCGACTGAGCCACCCAGGTGCCCCTCAGTCTCCACCTTGATCCCATTAGTGAGAGAGGGAGGCTTTGGGAGTCAGCCACAGGAAAAAGTGTCAATCAACAAGCCTTTGTCTTTTCACCGTTGGCCTTGGAAGATAACTTTTCAAGCTAAGGAAAAGGGATGAGGCTAGATTGGGCATTTCCTGGCTTAACATAAATAGGATTTTTAAAAAAGAGAGAAATTTATATTTTAATATGTTATAAGCACAATTGCTCAGAAAGTGGTTTACTATTGAGAAAAGAAAAATATATTTGAGTAGAGGCTATATCTCAGACCCAAAATCTACTTTTTTTTTTCTTCTGGTCCCACAAGCTTTTTCTACTTTGAGGCTTTTGAGTTTGAGCTATTTAATTCATTTGATTATAAAATTATTTCATCTTTTTAATTCCTCAAAGAAAAAATATATTTAAAAACAAAATTAACTTACATTTAAAGATGAAATATTGAAACATTTTCCTCTAAAATGGAGAACAACACAGGGAGATGCACTATATGGATATATGCTGTATCTATTCAACATTTGGAGTCTAAGCCAGGACAATAAAAGAGGAGGAAAATGATGAGGAAGAAGGAGAAAGAAAGAAAGAAGAAGAAAGAAGAGGAGGAGAAGAAAAAAGAAGAGAAGGGAAAAAGAAAACAAGGAAAGAAAAAAAGAAATAAAAAAGAAATTTTAAAGTAAAGAATATGTACTGGTAAGAAAGGAATAAAAATATTATTCATAGATACAATTCCTTTTGTACATAGAATATTTTTAAAATTCTAGAGATTAGTTATTGGAATTAATAAGTAAGTCAAACAAGATATTTGGATATAAGTTCAATGTAAAATAATGTGAAATCAATAGTATTTTTAATCACCAGCAACAAAGAGTATGAATATGAAATTTAAAAAAAATAATTTACAGTGGCATAAAAAATGATCAAATACTTAAGAACAATCTAACTAATACTGCAAGACCTCTACACAGAAAATTATGCAACAGAATTGAAAGAAGATAAAGAAAATCTGGTAACTCTATGCCAGGAAATTTAACAACTTAAATAAAATGATCAAGTTCGTTGAAAAACAACTTAATGAAACCAACTCAAGAAGAATACTCCTGTATCTGTTAAATAAGTTAAATCCGTAATTTAAAACTTTCCAAGAAAATTCTAGGCCCACCCAGAGGACTTTACTGATATATCTTTTCAAAAATTTAAGAAAAAGTTATACCAATCTTACAAAAACTCAGAGAATCAGGAAAGAGGAAATATTGCCCTACTCATTTATGAGGCCAGAATAACACTGACACTTAGGGTGACCAACTGTCCTTGTTTTCCAGGGACTGAGGGGGTTCCTAGAATGGGGACTTTCAATGTTGTGACTAGGAAGTCCCAGGAATATCAGAATGAGCTGATCACTCTACTGACACCAAAACCTGAGAAGGAAATTACAAGAAAGGAAAATAACAGGCCAAGCTAATTTACAAACAGATGCAAAAAATTCTAAACAAAGTATTAACAAATTGATTAATATATACAAAGGATAACATATTATGATCAAAGTTTTATCTTAGAAACACAAGATTGATTTAACATTCAAAGGTCAATTGGAATAAGCTACCTCATTCACTGAATAAAGAAGGAAAACAACATGATCATCTCAATAGATGCAGAAAACGCTTTTGATAAAATTCAATATCTGTTAATGAATTTAAAAAAACACTTCCGTGAATCAGGAGTGAAAAAAAATTTATTTACTATGATAAAGGGTACTTATCCTAAACTTTTATTCAACACGTCACTGGAGGTCTTTGCCACAATGATATGGCATGAAGAGGAAATAAAGTTTACAAATAATGGAAAGGAAGGGGGAAACCGGCTTTGTTTGAAGATGACATAATTATGTACATAAAAAATCAAAAAGAATCTACAAAATGTTAGAATTAATAAGTGATCTCAGTCAGATTGTTGGATGTGATGTCAATATTTAAGAATCAATTATATTTCTATATACTGGGAATAGGAATGGAAATGGAATAGGAATGGAAATAGGAATTATTTTTAAACTATAGCAACACATAGAAATAAACTTAATGACAGAAGTACAAGACACTGAAACTACAAAACACTACTAAGAGAAAGTAAATAGAGAGATATACCATATTCATGGAATGGAAGTCTCAATATTGTTAAAACTGACCTAAAGATTCAACATAATCCCCCACAAAATCCCAGCAGGCCTATTAGCATACTGTTTTTAATTGTTCTTAGTATTCCTTCCCTTTCCTTTCTAAAGATAAATTTTATTGGAGTTTAATTTACACACTTTAAAATGCACCCAATCTGAGTGTTCGGTTCAGTCAGTCTTGAAGACTTACACACCCTTATCAAGATATGGAACATTTCCATCACCCCCAAAACTCCCTCAGACCCTGGCCTTGGACAACCACTTATCTGTTTCCTGTCTCTATAGTTTAGTTGTACCTTGTTTTAAAATCTCATTTAAATAGAATCATACAGTATGTATGATCTTGAGTCTGGTTTCTTTTAATCAAAATAATGTTGTTTGGAATTCATCCATGGTGTCTCATGAGACAGCAGTGTGTTGTTGTTATTGATGAGTGCTACTTATTGACTGAATATACCATAACTTACATATACATTCACCAGTTGATGGACTTTTGGATTCTTTCTAGCTTGGGTCTACTGTGAATAAAGCCATCATGGACATTCACATACAAGTCTTCGTGTGGTCACACATTTTTATTTCTCCTTGGTAGACAGCGAGGAACAAGTGTGTCACATAGCAAATGTATGATGAACCGTGTAAGAAACTGTCCAAACGTTTTCCAAAATGGTCGGACAATGAATGAGAGTTCCAAGTATTCCACAGCCTTGTCAAAATTTATTAGTGTCAATCTTTCCAACTTTTGCTCTTCTGGTAAGCATGTTGGACCTCTGGAACCCAAACCCCATGTGGAAACAGGGCTGATGGAGGCTGTACCCCAGCACCCCACAAAGAGAATTCTGAAAAACCAACATCTCATGCAAACAGGATATTAGCTTTTGTCAGAAAGATCAAAAGGGCTTGAGGTTTTTCTTCACACCCCCAGGCAGCCTTGCCTGTCTCACTCTCTCTGGCTTTATCTATTCATTTCTGTCCACAGGCAGGAAGAGATGGCAGCAGGGGAGACTCAGCTCTACGCAAAGGTCTTCAACAAGCACAAGGGCCGCAGCACCCCCTCGCTCCTGGACCCCCTCCTGGGAATGGGCTTCCCAGCACACACTGCGTGAGTACCGTCCCACTGCCGCGGGCCACCGGGTGTGTGTCCCAGGCCCCCCAGCCCTCTGGCCCCTGCCGCACAACTGCAGGCAGCTCAGAGCACTTACTTCCTGCGCGAGGGGTGCACCTTGCAGTGAGAGTTACTGTCTCAAAATTAGGCCTTTTTCTTCTTTTTATAAATGACATGATCTTTTCCCTTTAAAGACAAACTCTGCTGGCTGGCTGCCTGGCTGGCTGGTAGAGGGACCCTGAAATTTGTAAAAATTGGGAGTCATGTATTACTGGGACACCCCCATTTTTCAGGGTTTTCAAGGAGCTTGGGCCTGGTTGTACCCTCTTTGCAGTTCAGTGACTGAGACGACACCATAAGGTATTTCAGACTCTCAGTTGAAGGGAGCTGTTGCGAGAACCACCATCAAGAACGTATTTCTAAAGCGTGCGGGGAAACCGTTCATCTGTAGGGAAAATCGCTTCAATGTCTGATCATTGAAAGAGATGGTTAAGAAAGTGCCGGAACAGCATTGACTCGATGCTGCTTACCCAAGGAAAAGGTCCCCATATGGAAAATTTTAACCTTAAGAGCCATTCTGTCAGAGAGAGAAGTCCCTTAAAGCAATGAGCTATGATAGGGACATGGGGTACTAATTTTTCACAGGCTTATTCACATGGGAAAATGCATCAGAAGTCCCTTTAAGGGGCGCCTGGGTGGCTCATTCGGTTAAGCATCCATCTTAGACTCAGGTCATGATCCTGGGGTCCGGGGATCAAGCCCCGTGTCGGGCTCCCTTCTCCGTGAGGGGCCTGCTTCTCCCTCTCCCTCTGCCGTTCCCCCTGCTTGTGTTCTGTCTCTTTCTGTCAAATGAATAAATAAAATCTAAAAAAAGAAGAAGTCCCTTTAAGTAACTTTGGACTGGGGAGGGGACCAAAGTTTCCTTAAACAATGTAACAAAACCCTGAGCAAATTGGCTGAAATCACTTGGAAGCTACACCCTTTTCTTTTCTAACCCAAATCAGAACTTTGTTGCCTTTATGTTGATAATAAACCAGGGATCTTTGAAATAAGCAGTGGAACCATGTGCCAGACCCCAACCTGGGCACCTTCCCTTGGGTGCAGCCAGGGACACTGAGGCCAGAGAGCTCAGGCAGTGGTGGGGCAGGACCCCACTCTTGGCCCTTCTAAAGCCCATTCTATATTACACTACTGAAGCTGGATGCGGACTCATGCTCAGAAGTCCTTGTAATTGAAACCAATGTCATCCCCATCAGTATTCACCAATAGCAACATGGGGCAGCGCCATGTTGGTTTGCTCATCAACTCCAGCTATTTCAGAGCTGAATTCCTGAGAGAGTTACCTTAGCCATATTCCATCCTGTTCAATTTGGTCCCATTCAGTTAGATTTAATTCGCTGTATATACATCCTGGGTTATAGTGATGAGTATGACACCATTGGGCCTCAGGGACCTTGCAGGCTGGTAGAGGAGGCAAACAGACACAAGTCTATAGAGATGAAGCATGGTGACCACACGTGTGGTGAGGAAACAGGATGGGCTGCACGACCACCCCACTGGGAGGGTTGGGGAAGTTTTCCTGGAGGAGGGACACTTGAGCCAAGCTTGGAAGAAGCAGTGTCATTTCTCTAAGGGCATTTTGGCACAGGGCTGCATTTTGGCAGGGAGGCACGTGGGCAAGCCAGGGATTCGGCCCTTCATAGCCAACTTGTGGATCCAAGAGTGGGTTCACCTGGCTTTGGTGCAGGGTGTGTGGACTGGCCAAGGAGGCAAGATTGTGGGCATGGTTGGAGCCCGTGCCCAGGACTGGAGGCTGGAGTCCCTGAGCAGGGGAGGTATGAGCAGGTCTGCATTTTCAGAAACCACAGTGATGCCACATGGAGATGGAGTCGGAGGCCTGGGCAGGGCATCCAGCTGCAAAGTCTAGCAGTCCAGGCCCTCGTGGGGGCCTCCCCGAAGGTCCCGTGTGCTGCAGGACTACCCCTGCCTCTCCCCTGCTTCCCCAAAGAATAGACGGCAGGTCTCTGAATTCTCCTCTCGTCCTGCTTTCCTATAGACTAAAGGCCCTGGCAGCCACTGGAAGAAAGACAGCGGAAGAGGCATCCAATTGGTGAGTAGGGCTGTCTCTGCAGATGTGCTGAGTACTTGGCTTTGAGAGCTCTGCAGGGTGGACACAGGGAGGTGCCCCACATACGCCGGGCGGCCAGGGAGGGAGCCCCTGCCTGCCCACCCAGCACCTAAGGAAAGGGGAAAAGAACCTGCATTTAAAATGGCAAACAGAGGAGAAAGATTGAAATTTGAACAAGCCTTTCTTCGCTTAAAAACCTGAGTTTACCCAAATGTGGCTATCAAAGAAGAAAGCAAGCCACGTGATTTGTTGAGTAAATAGGGAAGATATAAAATAGAGGTCCCCACTCTCGCAGGCTACCTCTGATGGGGAGAGAGTTTACTGCTGGTCGTGGATGCCCCCTGAGGCATCAGGGGCCAGGCGGTGGGGTCCCGGGGGAAGAACTCAGGGTTCCAGGAGGCTCCGCCATCAATCAGCTATGCACTCCGCAAGCCGCCCACCACTGCAGGCCTCGGCTTTCTGCTCGGGGATCACCCCGTTCTCCATCACCCAGTCCCACATGAATGTGCCATGATGCTGTCATTCTGCCCCTAGGTGGGAAGTCCCCTCACTCTCTGCTCTGGAAAACCACAGCGAAAATCAAGCAATAAAAACCAGGTCTCAGCCAGCTGGGGTGCCCTCCCAGAGCAGGATGGGAAATGCCAACAGTAGGTCTCTGAATGGCCAGCATGTCCTCACTGGGAACCCCCTTCTTGCCCCAAAAACTCTAGGCCAAGGGCAAACTATGCAACCCCTCTACCAGACAAAGGGAAACACCCAGAATCCTCTGCGCTAGGCTGACTCTAAAGTGGGTTGCCAAATTTGAATTTCAAACAAAACCCACTGCCTCGAGAGCCAAGGTGACTTCCTGCAACTTACAACTCAGCCAAGCAGATCACAAGTCCCACCAAGACATGGGGAGACAGTGGGGTCCCCTAGGCTCCACCCAGAGTGGGCCGACCTTAGCTAGCCAGGGAAGTGCCAATTAAGATGCCATGAAAAATGAAAAGCAGCTTCAAGTGTCCACGTGGGTGAGCGGAAGAGGGCTCTCTCCCTGTCCTGGCTGCAGTCTGGGGTGTGTATCAACACTGCCGCCCACGACGGACTTCCACGTCCAGGTCCGTGCCTTGGAAACATACAAAGGGCCCAAGAAACATGTACAGAGATCTTGATTACCGTGCTATGAAACTGTTCAAAAAGAAACCAATGTCAGTGCCCGGCAGTGGAATGGATGGGTAAGATATCGCACATGTGTGATGAGCATGCACGGCCCTTGGACACGCTTAACCGGATGCGTATGCATCAACTTGGATCAATTGCAAAAACATGGCGTGGACTAAAAACAGTGCAACCTGCAGAATAATTTAAACAGTCGTTTATGATTGATATAAAACACGCATGTGGGTTATCTGTGGATTGGTCACTTAAGTTTCTGGAAGGAAAAGCAAACAGTGAAGGATGCATTTGCGCCAAGATGAAGGGACAGAGCGCCCTCTGTTGGTGTTTTACTCTTAAGGAGACTCTACCTGTGCATAGCTCTTGTCTCCTCAAGGCGCCACGTCCCACCTGCTAAACTCAATCTTACATCTTGGGCACGTCTCTGCATCACTTGAAATTCTTCAATACCATGACTCCTGATGAATGCATGATAAATAAACTTACCGTCACTTATCTTATCTTTATGTCTTTCCTGTTACAAATCACCCTGCCATAAAATACCTCACGTGTGCAGTGTTATTTGCTTTCTCCTTTGGAGAAAGTTCTGGAAGTAGAATTGTCAGTTCAAATGGGATGGGTATTTGAAGGCTCTTGGTGCATCCTGACGACTTGCTTTTATACAGAAGTTGCACAGATCCACTGCACCTTTGACACATGGAGCATAACCTTCTTCCTTTCAAAAGCATTGTGTTAATTTGACAGATGAGAAAATGGCGCCTTGGGGTTGTCTTAACTCTTGTTTCTGTCATCAGTGAGTATGAACTTGAATTTGGGGTTGTACGTCACTTCTCCTTGTCCTTAAAATAACCTTCTGAATACAAAGAAAATATAGAGTAGCCACCTACATTTTGTCTAGGTTTGTTTTTTTGTTTTTCTTTTTTGTTTTGACTTTTACACTCAATTTGAAGTCGGATAGAACGAAATGTGAATGTTTTCTACAAATTTTCTGGCCCCCAAAGACCGTTTGAAGACCAGGCCATCTTCTCTCACTGTCTTGGTCTTTGGCCCGAGAATCAGACTAATGTGGGGCAGAGCCTGGGGTGGGGGGACCCGGTGCCATGCCGCAGCCACACCAGCCTCACTGAGGGGGCTGGTGGTGAATTTGTGCGGTGGGGACACCGCTGGTGCTGAGTTGCTGCCCTCCCCATGCGGGGAAAGTGTCCTGCCATCGTGGCACGGCTGAAACCAGCCTGTTCTCTTGCAGGCTGCGTTGTCATCGTGATGACCCTTCCCTGGATGATCCCATCCCCCAGGAGTACGCCCTTTTCCTCTGCCCCACGGGGTCCCTGCTGGAAAGACTGCAGGAGTTCTGGAGAGAGAGCAAGAGTCAGTGCACAAAGAACCGAGCCCATGAGGTCTTCCCTCACATAACGCTCTGTGACTTCTTCACGGTGAGTCGGCCCCACGCGCCTTTAATGCCCCTTAACATGCCACTGGGGGGCAGCTCCTGGTGACATCTAAGCACTGCTGGATGTCACTGGGGGCGGCCACGTGATCTCTTTCCATGGGGTGACGCACAGCTGCAGCACTAGCTGTCCTCTTCGTGTGGGACACCCTTCACTTTTCCCCGCATCTGGGTGACTCCTACGCATTCCTCAGAGCCCCACTCACTTAGCCCCTCCCTTTGTTAAGTCTTCCCCACTCCCCAGGCAGAAGGGCTGCCGCCCTTTGTGCTCCCACCATCGTGTTGCTTGTGTCTCTAGTGGCACTGTCCACGTGCTGTGGCAATGTGTCTGGTGCCACCCTGCATCCCTTAGGAGACTAACCCTTCGAGAGAAGGTAGATGCCTCACTGCGCTTTGTACCCCGAGACTAGCACAGTCCCAAGCACAGAACTTCCGGTGCAAAACCAGGAAAGTCCCGGGCAAACCGGTGTGAGTTGGTCCCCCTCCTTTGCCAGCAACAGCATTTGTGACAGTCAGGTTCCTTCCTGCATGTCCTGGGGAAGGAAGGCAGCCAAGTGATGAAAGTAACCTTAGAAACAGGCATGCTTCATCACGGCAGCCAGGGGCCACCTGGCCTCCCAGCTCGTCTTCCCAACCCCCCGGGACTTGCACCCAGCATGCACGTGTCCCCACAGACACACACACACACACTCACACATATACACACACACACACACCACGTGACCCACACAGACACGGACGTAGATACACATGTGCACCCTCCCTTCTCTTGTGTCTGCCACCCCACCAACCCCCAGCCTACGTCCAACCCTGCCGGGGCTGGCCGAGCACCCTTCCTGGCAGAAGAGCGGCAGAGGGATTGAGTCTCTGCCTTTGATGCTGTAGAAGGCAACGTTCAGCCTCCACAAGCTGATGTCCCCCCGGAGCTCTGTTTGTAACAACTCTGTGCTTCCACTTACCTGAGACTCAGACATACAATGTGGACAGACGGTCACTTATTCAAAGTTACACCCTCCATGTGTCATGTGCTTCCCCAGGCCCCACAAGGGCCGCAAAGATATAATAGACAGACGAATAGAGCCAGCTGCTGATCAGAAGGGGATGTAAAAATGCATATTAAAACTATAATGCAGCTGGTTCCTCAGAGGATGAAAGGTGCTGTGGGAAATTCGGAGGGAACCAGCTGCCGGGAAGAGCAGGGCTTGGGCTGATTTCCTGCCAGGGGCGGGAGGGGGCATTGGGGGTGGGGAGGGTCTGGGTTTCACTATGGTTTCACCATGGTCCCATGTGGCCACATGGGTCTTCCACATGGAGGAAGGTCTTCAAGCCCAGGAAGTGGTTTGGGCACCGCTGAGCCCCGGAGGCAGGAGGGCGACGTGCAAGTGGGGAAGTGCACCGAGGGCTCTAATCAGTGCCCACGGCCCCAGCGCTCAGGCTGAGCAGTGAAGACAGCACGCTGCGGGTGACAGGGGGAGCACCTGCTGCCTTGGGGTGCTGGCCAGTGCCCACGGCCCTGGCGCTCAGGCTGAGCAGTGTAGACAGCACGCTGCGGGTGACAGGGGGAGCACCTGCCGCCTCGGGGTGGAGGGTGGCATGGCAGGGGCACGGCGTTAGGTAGCGTGGTCAGACTGAACTGTGTGCAGTGAACTGGGGGGCAGTGGGGAGACTGGGTCAGAGCCTGTGTTGGTTCACGGTCCCCCAAGAAGCAGACCCCAAGCTGGAATTAGAAGTGCTAAGAGATTTATTTGGGAGAAACACCTGTGAAGGACAAAGAAGAAAGGGACAGGCAGAGAGCGGGGGAGGACAAGGTGGCAGAGCCCCAGCTAGCAACACTGTTCCGAGCAGGACAGCCGGCTGACGGGGAGCCTGGAACCCAGACCACCTCCAAGGAAACCACATCAGGGGCGGTGACGGGCTCGGTCACCGCGGGAGCGTGGCCAGATGCCGGGGACTTAGGCCACTGTCCTCCTCACTGTGAGCTCCGAGCAGTGCATGCCTGTGACTGCCTCAGAGTCTATGGGAAACCTCCAGAAGCCAAATGATGCAATGCCAACCACAACTGTGGGTTGAGTTGACATGACATGGAGGGACGGGAGGTAGCTAGGGTGACAAGGGACTTCCAACCTAGACCCTTAAAGGATTTTCCATTTGGAATTTTACCCGAAATCTCTAAAAACTGAGGACCAGGTATAGAACAAATCCATAACCCCAAACACATGGACAAAATAAATTACATTCCAGCATTGTGACCAGAAATAGGCTCAGTTGGCTGCATGATTTTTACTAAGTTAATAGTTGCCCTTCTAACAAAAGGCAAGAAAGCACATCCTCTGTCTCCTCTCCCTTAGTGTGAAGACCACAAGGTGGAATGTCTGTATGAGGCTCTAAAGAGAGCTGGGGACAGGATCCTGGGCTCCTTCCCCTCGGTCGTCCCTCTGGTTCTCCACTCTTCCATCAGCTATCTGGGCTTCTTCGTGAACGACAGCCCTGCAGACGTCATCCGGGAATTTGCCATAATGTTCGCTACGGAAGCCTCTGTCTTAGCAGGTAGGCAGCCCCGGACACCTGCACACAAAAGGCGCGGTTAATAGAGAGTGACCGCTCTGCGTCTCGGGCCAAGCTTGCTCCTCCGGTACAGTGGGGGTGCAGGCTGCTCCTTGCTGCCGTGGCGGCCAGACGGCTGGCTGGGCTGGGCTCTGGGCACACACGCACCCTGGCCCGGGACATTTCCACCCTCACCTCTCCCTTTCCAGCCAGCTCCTCTGACTTGGCCTTAGTCCAAGGCTGAACAGTTTAGCTGGAGCTAAATCTAATGAGCCAGGCTGTCCTTCAAAAGGAAAGCGGACTCCGGGAGCCAGCGGTTATCTTTTCTCTAAGTGGGAATACCTTTGTTTGCATTGATGTGGTTTTTTAGAACACTTGGCACACTCCAGCTGCCCCAGGAAACTGTCCCAGGAGGGGACATTGAGTGGCCACGTGAAGACGGTGGATTGCAAGCTGGTGCCCATGTTGGGGGATCAGGGGCTTCCCAGCCCCATGCCCACCTTGGGCAGATCCCCTCCTGGGGTCAGCGCTGTGTGTAAAACCGAGTCCTAGCTGGTATTTGGTGATGTTTTAGGGAGGAGCATGGTCTTTTCTCCCTGGCCTTTTGAGGAAGGATTGTCTGGACTCATTTTGAGGATCTGCAAACCTCCCTTTTCCCCCAGCACCTGCGCTGGTCTGAAGATGGGCTCCAGCTGGGGTTCATGGGAGGGACTCTGGACTTGATCTCAGAAGACGAGAGTTCCTCCGGAGTCTCTGGTTAGCGCTAGGCCTTCATCAAGCCTTATCAGCTCCAGGCCTCACTCTTCTTTCTCTGCAAATCGGTGAGGCCTCTGACCCTTCGAACAGCACAGCCTGTTTCTGTGGAGCTTCCCCATCGGTCCTGGCACACGGAAGGCACTCAGTGCTGTGACTCCAAGCACCCTGGCGGGGACACCCCGCCCTGCCCTCTGCAGGCGTCCAGAGGCCCCATTATCAGACGCGCCTGGACACAGATCTGGCTACATCAGGAGGTCACCGAGTCCTGGATTTCCTCCTGGAGGTGTGCCTCTGGACTCTGGGATTCTATTTGCTGGATGATTATTGGCTTACCCTGTGTCTTTGCAGATCCGTGTCCTTTATATAAACAAGAGTCAAAGGTGGCTCTTCAATCTCCTTGCCTCCAAAGGACAACGTGGTCTTATCATGCCACGCCCTGTCGGCCCCTTGCCGCGGAGCAGGCACGGCACTTGTAAAGAGTAGCATGCCCACCCAAGGTCACTGTCATGGGGTGAAAGTGTCCCCTAAAATTCCTGTCCACCCAGAACCTTAGAAAAGGACTTTATTTGGAAATAGGGTCTCTACAGAGATAATTAGTTAAGACAAGGCCAGACTGGAGTCGGGTGGGCCCTACATTCAGTGACTGATGTCCCTCTAAGAGAGGAGAGGACACCCAGACGCACAGGGAGGAGGCCACGGGAGGAGGGAGGCAGAGATATGAGGACGTGGCCACAAGCCACGGAGCGCCAGGAGCCCTGGGAACCTGACGCGGCAGGAAGGACACTGCCCAGAGCCTTCGGAGGGAGGGCAGCACTGCCCACGCCTGGGTTTCGGACTTCTGGCCTCCAGGCTGTGAGAGAACACACTTCTGTTGGTTCAAGCCCCACAGTCCGTGGCCATTTGTAACAACAGCCCCAGGAAAGCAACCGAGTCCCCTAAGCAGTGGTTGGAGCTGGAACGTGGAGCCAGCCCTGTCTCGTTCGGCCCTCCCTGGGTTCCTGCTGACCAGCCCTGCTCATCTCTTGCCGTGCCCTGCTACGCCTGTGCCTTGGGCCTGACCCCGAAGGGTGGGGAGGGGCCTTTCAGCTTCAGCGTGTCCTGGGCCCCTCTCCGGGCAAGTGGGCCCCCCACCCCCCAGTGAAACGCCCCCACAGGCAGGGGCTGCGAGGAGCAGACAAGACAAGGGCCCATTCAGAAGTCGTGTGTGGTTCACCGGTAACTCAGATGACATTGAGCGTGGCTCTTTCCCAGGCCACGCCGGCTCACATGGCAAGGCTATCCCCCCGCCCAGTGCTGAAACACCTAAGGAAGGAATTTCCCCACCACCCACACAACAGTCTCAGTTTCGGCTCCTCACCTCGACAGTTTCTTGTTTGCTGCTAAAGGCTGGTGTAGGGGATGGGAGACATCGGTGGGGCCGGCGGGTCTGGGTCCAGGAAGCGACTGCAACATCAGTGACATTTTCTAGGGGAGAACAGAGCCTGTCTGCTGTATGGGTTGCCTATGGGGGGGGGTGGCAGTTAACCAGTATTTACTAAAAGACACCCAGAGATGTGAACGAAGAGACTGGTTTCAATGCAGCCTCAGCAGGTGGTAGTCACTGTCCCCAAGCTATTGCTGTCAGAACGAAAGCTGAGTCAGGCCAAGATGCTCCCAAGGTCACCTCACCAGAAGCAGGTCTACCTAATACCAAATCTGTGTGTTCCCGTCGGTCTCTGCCACCCCGGAACATGCACTCCTTCGTGGCTCAGCTGAAAGCAGATCCTGGCCGAAGTCACGGCCCAGGAATGAAGACCGTGAGGGCTGGGGCCACCGGGGCAGAGGCCAGCCAAAAAGACCAGGGGCTGGCTGCTCCGAGGGCTTCCTGCTTCACCAAAGGGAGCGAAATAGTAGAGATGCTGTCATGTTTGACACAGTTGAGGTGCCTGTGGTGTTTTCTTCCTGAGACTCTGCAGCTGAACCAAACCCCATTGAGCTAGAGCACCGTGCTACCGGTCCAGGCCACTGGGTAATGTGCACACCCAGGGAATGAAGGAGAAGCTGTTTACTACATCCACTTTAGTCAACTGTTTGGGAAACCAGCTAGGAAATCCACAGTTTCCAAACACCCCCAACCCATATCTCTACCCCTCCTCTTTCCTGTTCCTCGTAAGATCTGCAGTACCCAACCATCCCCTCTGTAAGCTGAACTCTGGAGACAACACAGTCTGGGGGGGGGAGTCCTTGCCTTACCAAGAAAGCCCCAGTGCCCAGGGCGAAGGAGTGGGCAGAGGCAGGAGGTGCCATGCAGAGAGGCTTTGCACCACCCCTCCTGGGTGCGTGGCCATCCAGGAAATGCAGTGCCGATGGTGTGGGTTAAAGCACACATCATCCTTGTGTTTACCTGATCTCACAGACTGCACCGTGAAGCCTTGCACCAAGCAGCTGCATCTGACCTTGGCCCACAAGTTCTACCCCCACCACCAGAGGACACTGGAGCAGCTGGCCAGAGCCATCCGCCCGGGCCACAGCTGCCAGTGGACCGCAGTGCTCTACTCCCGAGACATGCGCTTTGTGCACTACCAGGTGAGCAAACCCAGGCCTGGGAGCCTCACCCAGAGCCGCCCGTGGGAACAAATGGTTCCCACCCAGCAGAGCACTGACCCCCAGGAGCCCTCCTCTGGAGGTATTTCAGGAAAAGGAAAACCATCTATTGTTTTTTAAATGATTCCCCCTTTTGTGCAATTTGGAACTAGCATTCTTTTACATATGAGTTGCAGACACACACAAAAAAATTTGAAAAAACAATGGTAGCATTGTTGGCAATAAAAAATGGACTGTTGCAAAAATGTACAAATATGTTGTATTGCTTATTAATTTGTTTAAATGATGATTTCAGTGAAGCCTCGTTGCAAGACTGCCTCCCCGCAAATTGATTAGCTTACATGGAAAGTAGGCAATGCTCCCTTTCAGACCCATGGAATTAGCATGAATGAATCCACCATGTTCCCTGTTGTATGAGAAGCTATAAATAATCTCATGCCAATGAAGGTGGATGTGAAAGACTAAATATGCTCTAAGATCTTTCATATTAGAGATCAGTAAATAGTGATAAGAGATAGATGATACATAGATAGATAGATAGATAGATAGATAGATAGATAGATAGATAGATAGACAGACACCAGAATTCATTTCTAAACCGATCCCAAGAATTCTGGGCCATATTCTCGTATGTGCTACTATCATCAGACGAAGGCCTTGGAGTGTCTTCAAGGAAAACACTTGCATCTTTTCCAGACCCTCAGGGCCCTCTTCCAGTACAAACCTCAGAACATGGATGAGCTTACACTAAGTCCTGGCGACTACATCTTCGTGGACCCTACTCAGCAGGAGGAAGCCAGCGAGGGCTGGGTGATTGGGATCTCCCAGCGGACAGGCTGCCGAGGCTTCCTACCTGAGAACTACACGGAGCAAGCCAGCGAGTCTGATACCTGGGTTAAGCACAGGTGAGTGCGGCCTCCAGCGGCCACCCAAACATCTCTCCCTGAGTTGGTGTCCAAGAACGTCCCAATGAAAACAGCGGTTGCCATATTTGTATGCTTCGAGACCATTCCATCATCGGTAAAAATTGCCTTCTCCATGCCGGCAACATTATCCCTGCAGGTATACAGTTAATATCTTGGTCAATTCATGGTTTTCTGCGGATAATGTTCCGAAAACGTGAATTACTCTATTGGGCTTCTGAGATCATAATCCCAAAACGACTACAAAAACCACCTCCTTATTATGGGCGTAAGAGATCATAATCAGAGAGCCTAAGCTTGGCTTTATTTATCTTTCTGCTCAGTGTGTCAACTGTAAAGTCCTAAAATGCATGACTAGTTTTCCATTGCTCTACAGCAGATGACCATGAACTTCCCACCTAAAGCAACACACGTTCATTATCTCCTAGTTTTCATGCATCAGGAGTCTGGGCATGGCTTAGCTCGGGGTCTCCCAAGGCTGCAGTCAGGTTTGGGCAGGGGCTGGGGTCTCATCTGAAGCTCAGGGTCCTCTCCTGAGCGCACATGGTGATGGCAGAACTCATTTCCTAGAAGCTGTAAGGCTCCCGGTGGCTTGCTTCTTCATGTTCAGCGGGAGAATCTCTTCACTTGAGCATTTCTAGCATTGTCTAGAGAGGCTGAGGTTGCTCGGAATCATCAGATCCTGGTTCCTTTTGTTCAATTTTCTTCCCTCAATTAACCTCTTTCCTCACATGTGTCACTAGGAGCAACAAGAATAAAACAGGCTACACCTTTAACACTGTGCTTGGAAATACTCTTAGCTACACGACCAACTTCACTGCTTATAGGTTCTCCTCTCCACCAACAATTTCACTAAACTTTTTGCCACTACATGGTAAGGATCCCCCTTCCTCCAATTTCCTGTAATGTGTATCTGACTCCTTCCTGATTCTCCCAGCATCCATATTACCACGAACAATCTGTCCAAAGTAGTTTCTTCATCGAGTTTCTCAAAATTCTCCCCACCTCCACCCACTGCTCAGTCCCAGAGCTGCTCCCATATTTTAGGGATTTGTCCCAGCAGCACCCCACTCCTGATACCAAATTCAGAGTCAATTAAGGTTTAGCCAGAGAACCAGAACAGCAAAATAGTAATTTATATATATATATAGTTGTATATATTTTATACATATATAATATGAATACATTTCTAAAATATATATTTTATAATTAATATACAAAAATGATTTCATAATAATATAGTAGTTTCTATTTATGTCATATTATTTATATTGTAATATATGTATATGTTACACACCACGTATATACACATCCATTTAAGGGTTTATTACTAGGAAGTGCTGTGTGGCACAGTTGGGCCAAGGGAGGGAGGAAAGGGAACACAGCCACTGGAAACCATGGTGATTGAAATGCTTGTCTCCGTGTGACAGGCGGGAAGGACTCCCCAGGCAGATGGGAGAGCAGTTGCTCTCTACTCTCTACTTACTCTCTGCTCTCTACTTGGAATCTCTGAGGTCAGGGAAGACCTAAGCCTTTTTTAAAGACCTTCCAGCTGAATAAGTCAGGCCCACACAAGATAATCTCCCTTGGGATTAAATTAAAGTCCGCTGACCAGGGACCTTAAAGGGCATCTACGAAATCTCTGCCCCAGAGTGGCACGCCACTCAGCATTTGATTGGATAACTGGAAAAGGGTGTGTGTATGCTTTCCACCATGACCTAAATGGTCTGTAAAAGAGATCATGCAATTATGAAATAATGTATTTGTGAAATAAGTTAGGCTACATCCATACAATGGAACACTTGCTGTGTTTAAAAATAGTCACGAGGAAGTAATTTATGGGCTGATGTGAAAAGATCCGAGACAGGTTGCGGAACACTGTGGCTAGTACAGAACTATTTGGGGGGGAGGGGGAAGTGAAACATGATTGTCTGTACATGTATGTGTGTGATGTGTATTTACATGCATGCCTGTGCCTAAAAGTCCCCTGGAAAGGAGCATCTCTAGAAACTTCCAACAGGGTGCCCCGGGGGCTGGGGGAGGGGCCAGGAGAAGAAGGGGGACTTTGGAAGGAGACTTTGCTCTCTACCGTCCATGATTTGTAAATATTGGAACCATATACATGCATTACTTATTCAAAATATAAATTCACCCATTTTAAATTTAAAGAAAAGAATATGAGGACATCAGGTCAAAGAGAGAATAAACGGGAGAAGTCAGACAAATCCAGGGCTGGGGTTGCACACACCATGCATGCTGGGCGATCTCTGCCTTCCCACACCCGATGCAAAAAGGGACACAGTTTCCATGAAATGAGCACAGTCATTCCAGGTGCGGTAGACCAGTCATCTGGAGAAGCGCCATTTTCTCAGGGTAGACATGGCTAAGGGTCCTGTGGGCTACCACAAAGTCACATTGGTGCCCCAAGGAACTGCAGAGCTAATCCAATGCAGGCCCCTGTCCTGGAAACCTGAGCACACTCTGGCCCAGGGAAGTGGGGAGGTCAGATGACGTCCCACTTATTCAGGAAGCACTTGTTTCCCTTGAGAACCAGCTCTGTCACCAGGTCCCATGAATGCTTTAAGGAAATCGGGAGACGCTGGTTACACCCCAGCTGGCTGAGTTCCAGAAGGGGCAGGGTAGGCCCTCTACTCCCCGCTCAGGATGGGAGAGCTTCGCTGCCACCAGGCAACTGGCAAACCCAGATGTTTCTAGAATTACACGGTAAAGACTCTGTAGGAGACGAGTTTGTGGTTATTATATTTTTGGCTTCACAATTAATCTGTCAACCACCTGTGACCAGCATAGCCAGTCTAGACTTTAAGCCTGACATTGCTGGGACTATTCTTCCTAAGGACAAAACAAGTTTCCCTTATGAATTAATAAATACCAAGAAAAATTGCAACAAAAAGAGAGAAAACTAAGTAGTAGGCCCAGCGATGGGGTGTTTGATTGGCCATGTTTTGAAAGCACCCCCATCCTCCCTGAGGGAGCAGCAAGACATCCTGACAAACTGAGACATATGGTTATGGACCCTTTGGCCAATAGCCAGCACTGCCGTCAGACTCAGTCCTTCTGGCAAAGTCTTCTAGAACTGCCAAAAGTGTACTTTACTAAGCCCCTAAGGCTTGTTAAGTTAGAAGATGATCCTTGAATGGCTGGACACATCACTAAACTGTTGAGTAGAGGGAAATGTTGTCTGGTGGCACCATCCAAAGACTAGCTTGCCGTGGGCAGACAGGTGCATACCTCAGACTGCGTGGACTGCAGGACTGATATTTGGCATGTGCAACCTGCTGGCCTTCCAGTGCCCAAGGACAGATGTGCACTTGCACCAGGAGCAGCCCCTGCCTGCCAGAGGGGACGCCTTTGAGTTTGCAGCCATGCTGTTCTGCTCAGCCACTGAAATATCCACCACCCACCAGCCCATCACCAATTCAACTTCAGCCTTTTTTCAATGGTCCCAGGAGGCTTTGGATTCACTGCATGACAAAATCACACCCCAAAATCTGCCCGTGACCTTTAAGCAGATGAGAGGTGACCAGCGGGATACAATGGGAGAGCGTCTTCATGAATCACAGTGGCTCTCAATGCTCCACATAGAAAAACATATGTAGCATAATCTAGAACAAAGAGTGGAGAGGCCGTCAGTGTTAGGCCTTAGAGAACAGTCTGTCTTCTGGCCATGATGAGAAGACTTTCCACACTGAAGCCATACCTGTCCAGTAATTTCCAAAACCGCAGAGCAAGTTGGTGGCAAGTACCTCAGACATAATAAAGGTGCTGTCATGGGCTGAATTCTGTCTGCCTCAGATTCCCTATGTTGAAGTCCTGGCCCCCAGCACCCCAGAATGTGACTGTAGAGATGGGGTCTCTACGGAGGGCATTAAGGAAGAATGAGGTCACCAGAGTGGCCCCCATGCAATCTGACCCATGTCCCTAACAGAGGAGGAGATCAGGAAGCAGACAGGCACAGAGGGAAACCGCAGGAGGACACAGGAGAGTAGGGTGTCCACACACCTAGGAGAGGGGACTCGTGGGGAGCCAGCCCTGCCCACGCCTGGATCTCAGAACTAGGACTCCAGGACGGGGACAATAAATGTCTGTTGTTTCAGCTGCCCAGTCTGTGGTGCCTTGTTACGGCCACCCCAGGAATCTAATATGGGGATGTTGTCCATACAACCCCACAGACTGCAGCTATGCCCCTTTTAAAAGCCAGGGAGAATTTAAACCCATCTTCTTCTGTGGCGTAAGTTGACCATTAAGTAGTTCTCCCGAGAAAAAAATCAGAAATATTTAAATGTTAAGTTCTTTCCTTTCTCCTCTCATTGGAATCTTGATTATATTTCATTTGAAAGACAAGCAAAAAAACAATTTGGTTTTCTCTCCAACTGTAGATTTTACAGATGCTATTTATAGATAAGGAGGCTCTGTTGTGTGGGACGGGAGGCTCGAGCATGGTGCGGGCCCCGCCTCATCCTCAGGAAGGGGAAACCCACCGACGTTTCCTTTGTCAATAGGAGACTGTAAATAGAGCCTCTGCCCCGGGAGGAGGGAAATGTCAATGGTTTGGACATGGACACCAGTGTTCTTGGTCCACTTATGGCCAACTACAGCCCACAGCTCTTGGGAGCTGGCTTCTGACACTGAGAATATGTGAGGAAAGGAAATCTACGTGAGCTGGATCCTGCCAATGGGAGTTTCCAGCACAACACAGGGGGGTGACAGTCTGAAAAGAAAAGGTACAACTTGCAGACAGTTTGAGAAGTGCGTTCACCAAATTGAAGCACCACGGGGGCATGAATGGTCCGAGGCACGAGGTGGTGGCGGTGGAAGGCTGGTGGCCGGGGGCTGGGGTGCAGGGCAAACACTCCCGAGGCGCCCCTGGCTCTGGCCCTGATCAGGTCTCAGCATGGACAGGTGGGGCCAGTGGTAGTTGCGGGAGAATCCAGGACATGAAGTGTCTACGGGAGCAACGCTAATATTCACACACGGGCTGAGGACGTAGAAACACACCACGTTCATGATTGAGGAAGACGAATCGTGAATGTATCGATTCCTCCTGGATTCATTGAAACTTCAGGTTTAATGAAATGCCAGGAAAAAATTCCAATGGGATCATTTGCTGGAACTTCAGTGAATGGTTGAAAAGTGTATCTGGGAGAATAAACGGGAGAGGAGCTAACAAAACTTTGAAAAATAAATATAACGAGAGGAGATAGTTACCCTGATGACGAGTGATGCTGAGCATCTTTTCATGTGTCCGTTGGCCATCTGAGTGTCTTCTTTGGAAAAATGTCTGTTCATGCCTTCTGCCCATTTTTAATTGGATTATTTGGTTTGGGGGTGTTGATTATAGATTATTTTAAAATAGAATTTATAAAGATGATCTCCCCTTTCATAAAGTGCATTTCCCCTGGGGAACTTGGCCATTTGCTTGTTCTTGGGGGATGTAAGTGACCATTCACGCTTCTCCACTGGCCCCTCCCCCTGTTCCTTCCAGACACACTCGACCCCCCTCATGTCCTGGAGTTCACACGACTCTAGTTGGCTGTGATCTTCTCCCTCCATCCTTCCCAGACCTCCTGAATGTGTGCTCACCTCACGGCATCTTTCTTGGTTCCGTGGACAGGTGGCAATTTCCTCACTGCCTGCAACTCCTCAGCTCCTGTTTTACCAGCCATCCCACTAAATACCCTTTCCTATGTGTTTCCTTAGATCTTAATGTGTCTCTTGACTGCTTGTTCATTCTTGCATCCCAGCCACATCTATCCTCACACATTTGGCTATTTCAGAAGGTAAATCTACGCAGATGGCGGACGAGTTTGCCTGGGCCACGTACCATGTATGCCAGCCTGGGGTCTTTTTTTTTTTTTTTTTTGAAGATTTTATTTATTTATTTGACGGAGAGAGACACAGCGAGAGGGAACACCAGCAGGGGGAGTGGGAGAGGGAGAAGCAGGCTTCCCACGGAGCGGGGAGCCCGATGCGGGGCTCGATCCCAGGACCCTGGGATCATGACCTGAGCCGAAGGCAGACACTTAACAACTGAGCCACCCCCAGCCTGGGGTCTTAAACAACAGACATCTCTTCCCTCATGACCAAAGGCTTTAAGTCCAAGATTAGGGTATGGGCAGGTCTGGTTTCTCCAGTGGCCCTTTCTCCTAGGTGTGTAAGACGGCCACCTTCCTGGTGCCTCATCATGGTCTGTCCTCTGGGCCAGCATCCTTGGTGTTTTCTCTGTACCTTCTAGTCTCTTCTTATAAGATAGAAGTGGGTCACCCTACTGGCCTCCTTTTAACTTATTTACCTCTTTAAACTCCCTGTTTCCAATAAAGTCATACTCTGAGGTGCTGGGGGTCAGGACTCTAAATGTCAAGGGGACATGATTCAGCCCATAATGGGATTTACTTAGGACTTGTTATGTGCTGAGCACTGGGCTCTTTGAACACACGGTTGTGTTTCATACTCAACAACGACCTTCCCTGCCCATCTTGTCACATGTGTCCCCATGCACATGCATGACCAGATAGAGGCAGTTGCTTTCCAATGTCTTCATGACAAGAGCACACTTGTTTCTTCTTCCGCAGGACCTACACCTTCAGCCTGGCCATGGACCTGATCTCCAGAAAGGACGGTGAGGCAAGCAGCCGGCGAAATGGGGAACTCTACCCTTCACAGATGCCAAAGGATATTAGCAGCATCCAGGCTTTACAGGTGACAGAATTCCCTGTTTGATAAGATGAGTAAAGGGAAGCCACACTTTAAATTAACTCCATGGTAGACTCGGCCCCTCAGGTACAGCTACAGACCCGGGTGGCTCGGCAAGAGGCTCTGCCTGCATTGCTCAGACACAGGCCACACTGCTCCATCCACCCTGGCGCAGAGGGTGGACGTCCCTTAGCTGTGAGCCGGGCTCTAAGCCCTTGAAGGCAGCCTTCTGGATGTTGCAAGAACATGCAGCATGTGTCTGTAACTCGGTTGGTCATGGCGTCAGGCCATGGGTCGGGGAAGATGTGGGGACACAGCCCTGCCCAGAATCCCAGACTCTTACACCAATTATCTCATCAGCATGCTGTGTGACCCTGAAGAAGTCACCTCTCCCAGGGCCCCAAAAGATGGGGGTCTTTCAAGTCAGTTCTGGGAGAAAGAAGGGGGCTGGTACTTGGTAACCTAGAGGGCCAGCAGCCGCAGGGCCAGGCTCTGGGGCACAGCAGGGCCACGTGAGTCCTACCACCTGCATGGGGCATGTCCAGGAGTGAAAGCTGCCCGCAGGGCCTCCACGGAGCAGGCCGCCCCTCCCCCAAAGCAAACCAGTGACATGGTGTCCCTGGCGCTGTCTGGGTGGTGGGCAGCCTGGCCCTCTGGTCCCTTACCGAGGAACCCCCAGGGGGCAGGGCATTCCTGCAACTAGCCCTAGACCACTTCCCACTTCAGTGGAGATGCCTCTCTGTTGCATCATTTCCGAAGTGGTCCCTCCATGTCCTGTGCCCTGTGCCCCCACATCACATTAGGATTTCAGCCTAGCCATCTCCAACCGCATGGGAGATGTTAGTCTCCATTTCACAGATCTGAACACTGAGACTTATAGAGGGTAGGAAGCTTGCGAGGGGCACTCAGGCACCTAAGCACCCCCGAACTTGTTGTTTTGGAGGGTTACATGGGACAAGGTGCCCATCGCAGGCCAGGCCTTCAGTGCTGAGAGTCTGTCCCTGTACAGAGGCAGGGCCATGACGTCAGGCTTGTCCCTATGTCCTCAGCACCTGGCTGGGGGCTTGGCTCGTAAATCTCACTGGCTAAATCATGGAATGACCTAATGAAGGCCCTGATCAGGACTCATGAGCCAATTGCCCTAAATCCAAAGCTCACCTTCCTTCCCCTAAGAAGCCACCAGCCCCTCCAGGCTGGGGTGGGCTTGGTCCAGACAGGAGCTGAGCACGGGACGCTGGGGCTGGGAAGGCCACAGAGCATCCCCATTAGACAGGTGTTTAGTCGGAGGGAATAGCCCGGGCTGAGTAGCTGCTGGCCGGGAGCTAGAGATGGACAAAAACGGGGCTCCCCTACCCAGACTGCCCAGACTCTGGAAGGCACAGTGGAAGCTGGACTCGGCCCCCTTAGTGGGGTGCAGGGCAGCAGGCATGGACTGGAATGGGGCTCCCTGAGGCCATGCCCCCCTTTCCAGATGGAGGACCGGATGCTGGAATGGAAGGGTCAGCTCATAGCTCGGCCTACATCTGAACTCGCTGCAGCTTTGAATGGGTGAAAGCCTCACAGACCTCTCCCTGCGAGCTGGCCCCTCCTCACCTGGTCTGAGCTCACCCCTCCGTGTGGTAGGAAAAGAAGACTGTGGCATCAGCTTTGATACATGGATGCTAGTAGGCTGAAGAACGGCCCCAAAGATACGAGGACCCAGTCCCTGGGATTTGCCAGTGTTCTCTTATGAGGAAGAGTGTCTTTGTCTGAGGGCTGAGTTAAGGGTCTTGATGGGGAGCATCCCATGGGCCCTAAATCCAATCACAGCTGCTGCTAGGAAACACAAACAGGATGTGTGATCAACAGGGAAGAGGAGAGACCACAGATACACAGGGGAGGAGGCCATGTGAGCGTTGGGGCAGAGACTGGAGTGTCTCAGCCGAGGCCAAGGATTGCTGGGGCTCCAGGAGCTGAGAAAGCCAGGAAGGATCCTTCCCTAGGACCTCAGAGGGAGTGGCCCTGCTGACACCGTGATTTTGGAATTCTAGCCTCTAAACTGAATCCATCTTTTGCTTAAAGTCCCCAGGTGGTGATGCTTGGCTACACCAGCCCCCACGCCTCTCATGTCTAAAGAGACAATACAGTCCTGGTGTCCCCTAGGCCCCAGGAGTGAGGCCATTCCACTCCCCAAGGACTTTGCACTTTATCTTAATATTCCTGTTGCAAAGCTCTGCATTTCAAAGTTCAAATGCTCTCAGCTCCTCCAGGGAAGAAAATGCTGTAAATTCAAAACCTCAGCCCAATGCATCGACAGTACTTGGAGATTGTCAGTAAGCAGACTAAGCCTGGGAGCCCATGTGTGTCTTGCAATCTGCTTGCAGATCAGCCCTTGACAGGGGCAGGGGATGAGATATTTTAATATCCATTCTCCTGGGGAAAGGCATCCTGGTGCCAATAGGCATCAACCATACTTCATGATTGTAAGACAACAAGACGAATTTCCCTTTGGAGCTCTGTCTTAGAAGGTGTGTGTTTGCCTATGAGGCCAAAGATGGGGAGTGGGAGCGAAGGGTGCACTTAAGGAAAAGGAGCTAGGCAAGGACAAGCAGACCAGCAGCTAGAGCTGCCTCCTGCCCAGATGCCCGGCCATCCCTGATGAGCTTGGCCTATCCATCCCTGGTTACTGTAACCCATCCATCCCGGTGACCTTCGCCTGTCCATCTTGGTGACCTTGGCCCATCCATATCTGGTGATCTTGGCTCCAGGCATGACCAAGTTCATTGTCCGACCTGAAGTCCCCTCAGCCCACCTCCTATGGCAGGTACTGTCAGCTCTGCATCTCATCTCATCTCATCCTCTTTTATGACTCATCTTTCCATGTTTGTCCCTTGGTCCCAATGAGATCCAAAGCTCCCTAGTGGGGAGTTTGTGAACTGAAGCTTGTGTCCCAGCCTCTGACATGCATGCTTCCAATATGCTGGGCCCCAAGGATACTAACAGCAGTATCTATATAGAGAGAAAATATGTAATATCTATTATATGATAACATATATGTGTGGATATAGAAAATGTCCCAAGAAGTCACTATGTAGGGATGCTCTGGTCTAAATGTTTGTGTCCCCCCAAAATTCATATGTTGAAATCCTAACCACCAATGTACTAGCATTAGGAGGTGGGGACTCTGGGAGGTGGTTAGGTCATGAGGGTGGAACCCCCATGATGGGATTAGTGCCCTTATACAAGGGACCCCACAGAGCTCCCTTGCCTCTTCCACCCTGTGAGGAACCAGCAAGAAGTTGGCCCAGAAGAGGGTCCTCGCCCAATCATGTAGGCACCCTGATCCCAAATTTCCAGCCTTCAGAACTGTAAGAAATAGATGACTCTTGTTTATGAGCCCCCAGGCTGTGGTGTTCTGCTACGGCCACCTGGAGGGACTAGGACAGGGGTAAGGACTTGGAAGAAACAGAAAGGTAGAAAAGTTGATGTGCTCTGTAGGGTATAGGCTGTTCCTACGGCTTTTCATTTTCTTGGTAGTGTCATAATGCCTAGGAAATAAAAAGTTGCTAGAAATTAAAGAGATTTCCACCTGCAATTCTTAATCTTCTTTCATTGCAATGACTTCGACGAAATGGGCTGTAGCCACTGAGGAAGGAAGGAAGAGATCCTGTTTCTAGGCCACCTATGGGATGGCAAGGGGAGGTGCCCACTGAGTAAGTCTAAGAATGCAGATGTAAAAATGCACATGTCTTTCTTTCCACCATCTCAGGCCACAATAGCGAGGAGGAGTGTTCTGGTGGTGCGCCACGGCGAGAGAGTGGATCAAATCTTCGGGAAGTCATGGCTACAGCAATGCTCCACTCCAGATGGTAGGTAATGTCCTGGCAGAATCGAAACCCGGAAAGTAGGTAGATCTAACAAATGACATCCCTTCTTGACCTCCTGAGCCGGCTCTCCTATGGCACCATTCTTAAGAGTGACTGTGTAGTGATAGTATATGTGAGAGGGGTATGTGCTACATCTTTCTCCATGGGCATTATACTCATGCACTGAGTGTGTACGCTGTCTGTGAGTATCTCACCTCAAATGCTGTGTGAAAGATGGAGGAATGGCCGTCAACAGTAAGCCATCTGCTGGTGTGACACATGGACAGTCGTCTTTCTTCTGGATGCACACATATGGTAGCTGGTGAGTGACCAGCATTGACTGGAGAGTATATTGAGGTCTCTGAACCCTCAGCTGCTGGCGCAACCCTAGCTTGCAGGCTCATTGCTCTATCTCTCTGAGCTCATCTTCACTGCTGTGGTCATTTCCCTACAATGTTTAACTGTGCTACTCAACAGATGGACGTATTCTGAACATGCATCTTGCTTACCCCAAGTTCACTGGGGATACCAGTGACGCTAAGAACTAAGGACGGTGCTTGTAAATACAGCACACCCACAGGCAGTCTCTACCGATGATCCACATCTGTACCAATGCACATCCCTTAATGGAAAGCCCAGCATGCCATGATTTCTAAGCCATGGATAACTGTATAAATGAAGATATTGAATGAACATAGAGTCACAGTAGCTGGGCTAGCCAAGCTCTTTTGGAATTCCTCCCGGAGCCCAGCAGGCTGAGAAGAGGGAAAAATGCTAAGGGAAAACCATTGGCAGATGATGAGCACACACCAGGAAAATTCTGAGCAGATTACATCATGACTGAACGTATCTGCAAGAACCCACGGAGGGGATGCTGTGGTAGTATCTATAAAACAAGATCAATCAGAGACACAAAGGCTCAGGAGAGAAACAATAGGATGGTAGGCGGCTATGAGGATGAATTGGCATTCACACATGCAGTTAGAAGAAACGTTCTTGTAAGACAACGATGATTGAAACCACAGACTGAAATGGCACCTGACGTCAGTGTGCATGTGGTGGTGGTGATGGTGTGAGGACCAACACAAAACAACCAGCTCCAAAACCAGTGGTGGGATGTCGTGGAAGGAGGAAGAATATTGGTCACTCAGACAAAAGACCAGGTCACCTACAGGGGAAAGTACTTTTTTTTTTATTTTATTATGTTATGTTAGTCACCATACAATACATCATTAGTTTTTGATGTGGTGTTCCATGACTCATTGTTTGCGTGTAACACCCAGTGCTCCATGCAGTACATGCCCCCTTTAATACCCATCACCAAGCTAACCCATCCCCCACCCCCCTCCCCTCTAGAACCCTCAGCTTGTTTCTCAGAGTCCATAGTCTCTCATGGTTCATGTCTCCCTCCGATTTCCCTCCCTTCATTTTTCCCTTCCTTCTCCTAATGTCCTCCATGCTATTCCTTATGTTCCACAAATAAGTGAAACCATATGATAATTGACTTTCTCTGCTTGACTTATTTCGCTTAGCATAATCTCCTCCAGTCCCATCCATGTTGATGTAAAAGTTGGGTATTCATCCTTTCTGATGGCTGAGTAATATTCTATTGTATATATGGACCACATCTTCTTTATCCATTCATCTGTTGAAGGGCATCTCGGGAAAGTACTTTAAAGGCACTGGAGAGTCCCAGCTTGAAGGAGGCTCCTGGTGGCTCTTTGCACCAGGCAAAGTGGTCCTACAGTGAATACTGACAGTCTAATTTGTCCAAATTCTGCATATTGCAATGTTTACTGTATTACAGTGGGGTGTTTGGGGGAGAGGCCAACCTTTCCTCTGACCCTCCTCATTTTGGCTCACTTCTGGGCCAAATTCCCACATCTTGTATGGCCCCTCATTTCTCAGTGCTGCTGCCAGGTCACCCCCTGTCTGTAAGGCTCTACACCATCAGAACCTAACGTTGCTCCAGATCCTTATCTTCTTCTGAGCTCTGATCTCCACCCTCACAGATAGAGTGTCCAAGGACAAGAGACCGACATGGAGCAGATGCCTTTGAGAATACAACACAGTCAATAGACCTTCTTTTGGGGAAAAAAAAAAATCCACTTTTCCAGCGAACACAACGTGTATTTTGGCATTTAATGAAGGCCTTTCTTCAAACAATGTCTCTGCCAATGGACGTTCCAGGGAGGGAGCTTTCAGGAAAATCATGCTTGGAAAGGGCTGGGATGCTGTGAGCAGGGCTGGGCTGGTGTGCTCGGGCAGGGCACGTGATGGGGCCTGCCCTGGATATACAGCAGGTCTCAGGAAAGGCGGCTTGGTGGCTAGAACCTGCTGGCAGCCGGGAGGTTTGGGGCTGCGTGGGAGGATGTGAGGGGTGGACCCGGCACAGTGTCTTCCGCAGGGTGACAGATAATTCAACAGTGAGATGAGGTCCACCACTTGTTGACCACTTAACCCTCAGCCAGGCCCTGGGGTCACAGTGACTCATTGTAACAGCTCTATCATTTCCCCCTTTTACTGATAAGGCAGACCTAATCATATAACTGGCAACCCGTGGTGCCAGGATTTGCACCAGACTGTCAGGTCGTAAAGCTCAAGGTCAAATTCTTCGCAGCCTCTAGATGGAGGGTCGGGGGGAGTTCCTGCGGATCTTCCTGATTTCCAGGCACGCCTCGGCAATCGGCTGAATAATGCACAATGCGGGAACATTCGGCCATGGGTACTCCATCCCCGGAGACAATATGACACACTGTCAGCTATGGGGACAGGCAGAATTTCACCTCCTTAATTAATGCCAACTTGGGATTCCCATCAAGTTAAGCTAAATCAGTAATGGAGACAGGAAAATTGTATGAGTGAATCTTTGTGAGGGATCCTCAGGGGACAAAGAGGGTCTCATGTTTCCTGAGGCGAAAACCTGTGTTTTCTGTATTTGAAGAAATGTGTGCACAGTAGAGTAACAATTTCTCTCCAATTGAATCCACATCACAGAGCACATTCCAGAAAAAACACAGTTGACAACTATTTAAGTGATAACCCTGCTCCCGATATGGGTCTCGATCTTGGGGGTTTAAAATATGCACTAAGCTGATGGACCTGAATGCCTGGTGTTATTTATGCTTTAGGGAAATACTACCGGCCAGACCTGAACTTCCCTTACAGTCTACCCCGAAGGAGCAACGGTATCAAAGACTTTGAAAACGACCCACCATTATCATCATGTGGGATTTTCCAGTCCAGGATGGCAGGTATGTTTGGGGATAATTACAGTAATCACAGCAATGATTATCTCTAGTGCATACTGAGCCTTAGCTACACGCCTGCTGAGGTCGGCATTAGCATTATCCCCGCTCTGCTGATGAGGACGCTGAGGCACAGAAAGGTTAAGTAAGTTGCCCAAGATCACACAGCTAGTGAGTGGAAGTGCAGAGATTGGACCCAGGACGGACGGTTGGGGAAGTCAGAAGGAACGAATGATAGGCGCGGAAAGAACAAGAGAGGGGAGAAAAACCAACGACCACTGTGTACACTGTGGGCGTTACTTTAAAAATTAAAAAAACACATCTTCTCTTTGTTTTTATTTCAAAATCTGTCAGCTTGGGCTTATGCTTTATGTCTGGGGTTCTGTTTCCATTGATTGACTTTTTGGAACACAAGAAGCCAATAAATCCATCTGGTCTTCCTTTAATGAATGAAGAACCTGGAATCGGGAACTGGGGAAGGTGTGTGAACTGAAGGAGCTCGGTGTCCAGGCGGGCAGTAGATGGCCTCTGCATTGGCTCCGTGGGGCCACATAACAAAGTGCCGAAGTGGAGTGGCTTCACCAACAGAGGTGCATTCTCTCTGGGTTGTGGATGCCAGAAGTCCGAGTTCCTCCTGAGGCCACGAGGGCGTCTGCTCCAGGCTCCTCCCCTTGGCGTGTAGACGGGGTGCCCACTGTCTCTGTATCCAAACTTCCCCTTTTACAAGGACACTGGTCAGAGTGGACCAGAGCCCCCCTAGTGACCTCATCATAACTTGACCACCATTATGAAGACACCATGTCACACTCGAGGACCTGGGGTTTGGGACCCCAGCATATGAATTTGGGGGACACAATCCAGCCTGTGACACCTTCCTCTACAGCCTCTGGCCTTGGCACTGTGCATATATCCTACTGAAAAGATCCCCTTCTTTCCCAAGGACCAGACCCTCTGGTTTTGTGAGAGGCAATGTGACCTCCAGGCTTGTCCTCCCATGAGCCTCGGGTAGTCTCAAGCTCCCTGTTGCCCCAGCACAGATTACCCCGACCTTAAAACAGCCCCCACATGTCAGCTCACGGTTCCATAGGGCAGAAGCTCGGGCACGGCATGGCTGAGTTCTCTGCTCAGGATCTCACAGCATGAAAGCCAGGTGTCACCTGGGCTGGGCTCCCATCTGGAGCCTCTTGGAAGCAGTTCCAGTCTCTCCCAATGGCTGTTGGGGGGATTCTGTTCCCTGCAGTTATAGTACTGAAGTCCTCATTCCCTTGCTGGCTATCTGCAAAGGGTTGCACTCACCTCTCAGCGCCCCCACGTTCCCTGCCATGTGGTCCCCTCCATCTCTGAAGCCAGCAATAGGGAATCTCTTGCGTGTTGAATACTGTATTTTTTTTTTTTTTTGAGAGAGAGAGAGAGAGAGAAAGCAGGAGGAGGTATGAGGACAGAGGGAAAGGGAGAGAGAAAATCTTAAGCAGGCTCCATGTTCAGCATGGAGCCCGACACGGGTGGGGCTCAATCTCACGACCCTGAGATCACGACCTGAGCCGAAACCAAGAGTCAGACGCTCAACCAACAGAGCCCGCCAGGCACTTCTCAAATCCCCATACTTCTGAACCTCTCCGGCTTTTTTTCTGTGACAGCCAGAGAAAAATCTCTGCTTTTAACGTGCTCACCTGAATGGTCAGGCCTCCCTGCAATAATCCCCCTCTGCCGTACGACACAACACAGTCCCAGGAGCGCCACTTCATGTCATCATGGCTTCCAGCCACACTCAAGGGGGCGACACAGGCGTGTGCAGCAGGGGATGGGAATCTCGGGGCCCCTGAAGGTCCTGCCTCCCTCAGGTGGTGAGCTGCCCATCGGAGGCCACAGTTATGAAGAGGCATTTCTCCACCTGCTCTTTTCCAGGGGAAGCACTACTGGACAGTGGCATCAGAGTCACCTCTGTCTTCACCTCCCCGGCCCTCCGCTGTGTGCAGACAGCCAGACACATCCTGGAAGGTCAGTGAGAACCGCAGCGAGCCTCCCATGTAGCCTTGACCTCGTGGCTATTCTCCAAGGGGAGAGGGAGGCAGACGGGGGTAAGAATTGGATGAGGGGCGATGAATGGCCACGTAAGTCGTAAGACGGTCATGGGGCAGCCCTCCAAGAGCTATGAGCAGGCACTGAGCCCACCAACATTTCTGGAATGCCAGGATTGTAACCGAGTGCCAGGAGCCTGTCATCACACTGTCCACCTTTGGTCTACATCCACCATGTGTTAAAAAAAAAAAAAAATCTGGGGAGGGGCATTCAGGAAAACCCAGAGAGCTAGGAATGGCTATGGTCCCTCCTGAGCCCAAAGCCCATGACTTCCAGGGCAAGGGGCTGGGCTCCTGGGAGCTGTCCAGCACCCTCAAAGCTGATGTCCCTTAGGAAGCCACCGGCAGGCTTTTTAGAGCTTCTGCCAGAGAAGAGCAGCCTATTTGGGGGCGTTGGTTCTGCATCTCCCACTGGACCCCCGCCCTGCCTTCCTTATGGGGGGGGGGTGTGTGGTGTAGGTCGCTGCGCAGGAGCACGGGCCGATGCTCCACAGCGATGGGACAGAGGGCAGAGCATGTGGACACAGATGCAGCAGGTGTGCAAATGTGGGGGAGGCGGCTGGCCTCTACTTTCTCAGAGACAGAGGGGGTCAGGCCACCAGCTGAAAGTGAGAAAAGGAAGGCCTTCTCGAGGTTTGGGGATGCACAGAAGGTATGACATGCCCATCAGAGAGAGGGGCCAGATCACAGTGGGGAGACAGAGGATGGCCGCTGGGCAGCATGGGGAGCCCACTGAGGTCAGAGAGCATGATTTTACATTGAGACCCACCCACCGACCGGGCCCGGGGCTTTCCTGCGGGTGCAGACATGGAGGAGCAGGTGCAGAGCTGGCTCTAACAGCGCGTGGGCTTGAGATGTGAAATAAAAAGTTCTCGAAAATGTTCTCTGGTAGTGGTAACGTCAGTGGCTCTAGTACGTTCTCTCATGGACTTGTAGCCTATATGCAGAACATCCTTCTTGTTATCATGATGCCTGATAAAGTTACCAGGTGATAAACCCCATGTTCCTTCAGGAAAAAGAGGGCACTTGGCCTTCTTCCTAGGTCCTGGAACAGGACCAATCTGCTTCCAGACTGGCATCCGAGATGCTGACCTGCTACCCTTAGTTTCAATGCCAGGTCAGTGGCTGTCCGGATGGACCATTTCCCAAAGTGTGACCTGAAGAGAAGTGGCTGCCAGATGGCTCCACAGAAGGATCAGCCAAGCCCATTTGGGAACTTCTTCTACTGTTCCTTCATGTGACCTATTCACGTGGACACGGGCCTTCCACGGGCTGGAGAGAGCCCGGGAGCCGGGTTAGACCGTGGAACTCCCTTTCCTAAACGTGCTTTGGCAAAGGAACCGGTCCAGGGACCTGGAATGCATTTTGGGAACTGATTTCATTTCCAGCATTTGAGCTTAATGACATTTGCCCCATTTCCAACAAAAACATGTGGGTCTTCTTTGCCCCACTCACAGAGATGGCCTTCTGCCACAGGTCTTCTCTTAGCTGAGGGAGAAAATGCTTGGGAAGGGTAGCTGGGAGAAGTCCAGATGTTCCAAGAGACAGCTTCCTCTGCCCTTCACCTTCTGCTCGGTCTGGGGTGTTTGTCAGGATGGGGCCTCAGTGTGACCAATGTGCTCTCCATTGGCCGGTCTTTTCCAGGGATTATTGGGTTGGCCAATACTGTGTGCTCTTGCTCTTGACCGAGAACCGGGCCCGGTGCCGGTCTGGCTGTAGAGTTGTACTGGACCATCGGGGTGAGCGCCAGGGCGAGCCCACTGCTGGTGGTGCCTCCCAGCCCGGGCCCCTTCCCGATGGACGGGCATCACCGCTCCTCAGATACCTTCCAAACACACAGTGGTTTTGGGCTCAGAAATAGCATGGCTACGAGTAATCACAGAACCATACTTGCCAAGAAAAAAAAAAAACCACATTTTTTAAAAGGTATTGTTTAGGTGTAAGAAGAGATTTAACTTACGTAAAACCAAAATGGACTCTGAGGATGACCAACACTTGTGTTCTGTTGGATTCAGAGCTCAAACTGGAGAAAAGAATTAAGATAAGAGTGGAACCCGGAATCTTTGAGTGGACGAAATGGGAGTCTGGCAAAACCACCCCGACCCTCATGACCCTGGACGAGCTGAAAGAGGCGAATTTCAACGTCAGCATGGATTATAGGTAGGCTGTCCTCTTGCCTTCTGCCAGGGTGCAGTGCTTCTCTAGTGCTCGTTCAAGAAGAAATATTCACGACACCCATTAAAGATGGTATGAAAGGCTGTATTCGGGGAGAATGCTGCACTGGGGGGTTGTCACAGGGGAGCAGAATGGGACTCAGCTCCGAACACAATGAGGACAAGTGGGGGCTGTTAGCGGAGGAGCGGGGTGGGGGGTGGAAAGCTACTAAGAGGGTGGGTAATTCTCCATAAACTGCCCTAGCAGCAGCTGGCTAAAGGAAGGCCAGAGGGACCGGACATCACCGGGGGGTGGCAGGGCAGGCAGGGCTTGCTCAGGTATCGAGGGGGAGCCCATACCAAGGGTGGGGCTTCTGGCTTCACAGTGTTAGCAGGAGTCTTGCTAAAACTGACTCTACACAGTTGGGCACTGAAGCCCAGCGGTCGGCGTCGTGAGCCACAGGCTCAAGGAGCCTGGCTATAGGGTGTGTGGTCAAGGAGACAAGTTTTGTCATTCTCGGCTCATGGCTGACTCTTGGCCATCACAAAACCCTCTGGTGTTCCGTGAGGGCACTTGCTGGAGATTGGACGTCAGCCCCTTGTTGGTTGGGGACACACAACCGGAGTGTCGCTGTGGACCACGAGCTGCCTTGAGGCAGGGCTGTCTTAGCAGGGCTTCTCCTTCTCCAGCTGGCCACACAGCAAGCAGGCCAGCCTGGCAGGGGTCCTCTCTCTTGTTCTTTAGGCCCGCGTTTCCTCTCGCCTCCCTCTTGCCGGCTGAGAGTTATGACGAGTATGTGGAGCGGTGTGCGGTGAGTGTGGGACGGATCATCAGCGCCTGCCCACGGGACGGTAAGTGCTTCCCCCTCCTTCCCCGTCCCCCACCTCTGGGTATGGGCAGCCCCCCGGGGGTTGGAGTCTTACGTCTGGGGTGGAAACTGGACGATTTTACGAACCTAGGAATGCCGCAACTCCCTCCGCCCCCCACCCCAATCAACAGAGCTACATGGCGGGCTCTGCAGTAACGCAGTGCGTAGACACATCCCCCCTGCCGCCCTGGGGACCCCGATTCTGAGACTGGGAGCCGATGGGATCCAGGACAGTGGGTCAGCACAAACCACACATGTCTGCCTCCTAGGAAACAAGAGACTAAAGATGGAAGAACCAGACGTCAGACCACATTTGAATGCCGATCGGCACAAAACATCTGTATCCGTAGATGGTTCAGACCCTTAGAAAAATCCAAATGTGGAATCTGAATGTGGAAATGCCTAAGAGACTGAGTGGGTTCTGTTAGGTGTGACAGTGGCGGGTTGGGTGTGGAAGGGCGGAAGTCCTCATGGGGAGGGGCCGCCCCCCGCAGAGTCTGAAACACCTGGACTTCGGCGATGGCGGGGGAGGAGCAGGGGGCGCTCTGACGGCACATGATGCACAAATGTCACACAGTTGCGTCTCCGCGAGGCGGGAGGCCCACCTTTGGGCCTATCTGGGTATCTCTGAAAGTGTCCATAGTGAAAAGCTAAAAACTAAGCCTTCAAAAATTTACATTTAGCAAGTGTGTAGTGAACATCGTGCTGTGTCAGATGCCAAATAAAACACGGTGGGGAAAACCCAAGTGAAGAAGCATGTGCTCCCCCCTCAAAGGAGTTTGAATATGATTGGGGAAAGGGGCATGGCATCTAGAATATTAAGAATTTTGAGTGGCATGAGGCTGCTTTACGTTGCCTACTTCGACGGGCTGGCATCCTGGGAAGTGTTCTTTTGGGAACCGCACCTCAGTGGCATTTAATTGATCGCCAAAGCCCTCTTCCTCACACTGACTGCCACGGAGCACCACAGGATGGAAGATGACGTTAGAGCCTTCCACTGCACGGCCGGGGTCCCTCCTCAGCCTGCTGCTTTCCTGCTGTTCATGTCAAGCCTCTGTCCTGAGCCGAAATTCAGAGGCCACAGGATGTTCCGCCCTTCTGAGGACCCCCTACAGGGGTGAGGCTCTCGGGAACAGGGATGGAGATCTGGTTTATCAGCTCCTGAGCCCACTGAGCACCGTCTACGTGCTGCTCACTGCAGGGAACACAGCCCGCCTGTCCACAGGGCCGCACGTGCCGCGGAGTCTGCCGGGGTGCCGCACCTGAGCTGTAGGACAAGCAGGATTTGGAAGGCAAACGGTGCCCAAGAGGGGAGAACGTGAGCAAGGCCGGAGGGTGGCAGGTATGGCAAGCCACAGAAGAGGAATGAAAAAGCCAGGTGGGCTGGAGGGAAAAAGCCAACACCTACCGGTCCCTGGGCAGGGGGCCCTTCACAAATATTACCTGTTAATTGCTCACCTTCCTGTGCAGTCTGTGACATCACGGCCCCATACTCCCCATGACGCTGAAGCTCAGAGGGCTGGAGCCCACATGCCCAAGTCACCCGCATGCTGACCGCACAGGCCCAGAGTCCAAGCTGCACGTCCTCCTCCCAGATGATACCTGGCTGCCGCACCATGACTTGGGAAGCCAAAGATACGAGAATGGAATGAACAGGAAATAACACAGGAAAAGTACATCAGGGCTTCGGTCCTGTTGGAGAATTTACAGTCGTGTTAGGAGACAGTGTGAACGGATTGTTCTGTGTCAGCTGTAGCCCTTGGGGGAAGCCCGCCGCCCGACTACATCCAGCAGGTGGATCCAGTGGGTCCGGCCAGGGCACCTCCCGGACTCGTCCGGCTGGGCCAGCTCTCTCCCGCTGTGCTTGGTGCCCGCATCAGTCACGCTGCCGGTGGGAGACTCGCTCCACCCATGGACTCAGAATGTCCTTATCGAAGCAAGAGGCATCAGCAGGCTCATGGAGGCCAACTGGCTGATAATTCTCTAGCTAAGGGACCCAGCCTGGGTGGCAGCCACCACAACATCCTGTGAGAGATGACAGCTTGGATTACGGCGCAGTCCCATCCCCAAAGCTCACGGCAGGTGCTACCGCCCCAGACCATGCCCATGGACGTGAAGCACCACGGACTATGCACAGTACCTGCCACACCGCTTCCTACCCCAGCTCTCTCAGGCTTTGTGCACCACAAAGTTGTTGCCCCCGGTAACACTGCGGACCCTCGTTCTAATAAAAGTCACTCTCTCTGTGTCTCCTCTGACCCCAAGGTGTGCTTTTCCCTATAGTGGGTGTCATTCTGATTGTGAGCCACGGCTCGGCGCTGGACTCCTGCACTCGCCCGCTCCTTGGGCTGCCGCCCCGGGACAGTGGAGACTTCGCCCAGCTGGTGAGAAAGGTACGTGCTGGCCCCTTTCTCTTTGGGCCATGAAGTCAAGCCCCCAGAGCCCACAGGGTCATCATACTTCCTTCTCAGAATGAAAACAGGTGTCCAGCCCACCCAGGGCAGCAGGGACCACCCCACCCACCCCATCTCCTGAGAATGTGTGCACCTGCTCTTATGCAAAGGGCAGCCCTGGGCAGGGGGCTGACGGAAGCAGTTTATCATCTTTATCACCATTATGGCAACTTTGGCCATTTGCTGCCCAGATTACTATTATCATATATTATTATTGTTACAAAAAATAAGATATGGTTATCCCCTGCAGCTCCAGTAGTTGAACAAATGGTCCAGTGGGGAGTAAACCATGTGGACACAAAGAGAAAGAACAAAGGCTGGCCTGGCTTGCTCTGGGGACCCAGGGGCAGGGGGCTGGAGGACAGAAAGGAACCCCCACCCTCTTGCTTTTGGAGTCAGCCCGCCATGGAACACACAAGACTTGCGGTAGCCTGAGTGCCCGTGGTTGGGCTGAGGCTCTGCAAACACTTACAGGTAACCAACATGTAGAGAAGGACAGTGGGTACTTTGCACCAACCTGTTGACCATCACCCAGTAACCCAGGGGCGGCTTTATCCGTTAGTGAGGTGAATCAAGGCAGGCAAACTAGGGGCTCAGACCCAGCCCCTGCTCCTGCCCTGAAAATCTACTCAGGGCAAGATTTGCCCCCCTGTCCTTGTCCATTTTATCAAATTAATCAGTTGACCGATGACCTTGAGGCTGGGAGCGCAGCTTCACAACACCTGTGAAGAAATGGGTCCCTGAGTTGGTTTGTTGGTGCAAAATTGTCACAGGACCATGAGCGGCCAAAGTCTGTTCACAGAGGAGCAGACCCTAGGCCCCGACCAGCCGACACTGGCTCTGAGCCTGGGCAAGGTCCTTGGATTTCAGAGCCCCACCCTGCCTGCCAGGGAAAGCCAGGTCCTCCCTCACGTGGGGGGTGAGTCAGAGAGCACTACCTGCGTGCGCCTTCTCCCTTCTCATTCAGTTTCCTCTGGACCTGAGTGGAAGCACGTATCCCCTCCAAAGTGTCTCCAAGGTGGGGTTTCCCAACTGCAACCCAGATATTCCCAAGCCCTTCTGGTCCTGGGCCACCACTTGACTGCTATCTGAATATAGAGCTCGAGCCTCCAGGCTATGCTGGATGACAATGGATTTTTCTGGGGGTTCTCCTTGTGGCCCCTGCACCACCTTCTCCCCGAGCGTCGCTCTTGCTGATGTCACTATCTCCCTCTCATGTGCTCCCGTGCTGCACACTCCGGATCCTGCACCCCTTCCCAGGCTGTCCTGGGCTCCTGGTCATCCGCACGTGCCAGCTGCAGACAGAATCGCAAATTTGGTGCTATTCCAAAACCCCACTGGTCTTCGAAGCCAGATTCCCACCCACTCCCCTGACCCTTGGCTTCCCCTTCTCAAGATGCCAGCCTTGAACTTCCAAATTCCTGCGACTTTCTTATCCTGACAGTTTGGTGTCTACCTCACCCCCTCCCCAAATAAGCTGGACTTGCCTGCACATATCAGACATTTACCAAGGGGCTCTGGGGAACCACGGGCCTTCAAATCAGGGGCAGATGGAAAGAGACCATTCACAACCTTCCCTTTGCCCACTGCACCGTGCTGCCCCCAAATGTACACACACACACGTATGTACACACACATAAATACACATGTACACATGTGCACGCATACACACGCACAAAGATGCATACGTGTGCACATGCACACGCCCATGAACCCACACGCACACACACACATGCACGCGCACACACACCGTCTCTCTAAGCAGGAGAGAGTCACCCTGAGTCACCACCAGCCTCCACAGGGATCCCCCTGCATGTTGGAATTTCTGCAAATTTTGTCTCACTGAGGAATTTCTCAGCATCAAAAGAGAGGAAAGAGGGGAAAGCAAAACATGCAAACAAGCCCAAAAAAGCTTTAAAAAACAAAAATCTACACGAACGCTTTCACTTTGCAGATGAAGACATGGAGGTCTAAAGTTTCACTTAGCGGTTTTTTCTGGGCTCTGCAGACAATGCCAGTATCTCTTTGTGACGCTAAATTTGAGAATGCAGGTCAGTCCCCAAGCAGCAGCCTGGGCTTTGCAGCCTGTACACTGCCGAGCTTCGGGCTTCGGGCAGGGTGCCCGAAGTGTTGGGGGACACCATGCTCCTGTGCCCTGTAGGACATTAGCAGGATCCCCAGCCTCTGCCCCTGCCAACAGCACCCCAGTGTGACAACCCGTGGGAGGGGCACGGACCCCGCCCCAGGACGGCTGTGTGGGACGTGGACGTGGGCATCGTGTTTAGGACAGCGATGTCTGTGTGGGCCCATGGCGCCCGCCTCCCCGGCCCAGCAGGACCTGCTGGCTAGCTTTGGAGCAAGTGTAAAATCGATTGACCTGGTATAAAACATTAATAAGTGATTGGAAACTCTGTCCTAGATTCCTTCTCTGGGCATGTGCTTCTGTGAGGAAAATAAAGAGGAAGGAAAATGGGAGCTGGTGAATCCTCCCGTGAAGACGCTGACCCACGGCTCGAACTCGGCATTTAACTGGCGGAACTGGCTCCCGGGCAGCTAGGAGCCGCGCTCACGCTCCGCTCGGCGCCGGGAGGAGGGGCGTCCTCCGCGCCCCCATGTGATTTATAGACGCACGAAATGCACTTTTGGATCCCCGGAGGTTCGCCATCCGCTGTCGCCTTCTCAGCGGCACCGATGGACCATTACCCTGTGAGCGCAGCCCTTGAGACGTGGGGACCTGCCACGTGGCCGGAGGGAAGGAGCCGTGGCGACCCACCACGGAGGACTGGAAGGACGCGCCCACTCTATGTGCTGTGTTCTGATGAGCCATGTTCCCTGTTGTTTTCCTAGTTCTAGTCCACTGGGCCGTGTCCACACAGGCCGAAAGGGGTATAAGAGTGAATAAAATGGAATAAGAAACCGCCAGCCAGCTCAAAGGCACAGAGCCACGGCTCGGTGTCCACACCCTGGGTGCGAGTTTCCCATCGCTGCCGTAACAAGTCACCACGGAGCAGCAATTAGGGACAACCCAAATTTTTAATCACACGTGCACAAATTAGTTCCGTTACAGCTCTGGGGGTCAGGACTTCTAAGACAGGTCAGCGGGCTGCACTCCTCCCAGAGGCTCTTGCGGAGGTGGGGGGAGGGGTCTGTCCCCTTGCTTTCCCCGCCCCTGAGGCGCCTGCCCTGCCAGCCTCCAACTGCAGACAGCAGCGTCGTTAAGCCCCCCTGCCCTGTCCCACGGCTTCTACCACCACGGTGCCTTCTGCCTTGGACCCCATCCCCGTCTTGTAAGCTCTCTTGGGATTACAGAGGGCCTGCCCGATAGTCCAGGGTGCTCTTTCATCTCAAGATCCACAACTTATTCCGTCTGCACGGTCCCCTTTTCCTTGTAAGGGACACAGTCACAGATCTGAGATTAGGATGTGGATGTGGCTTTGGGGACAATCCCCATCCCCCACACCCCGCACACGGGGCTGCTTGTACCGGGGCCCCGCTCTGAGGACGTGAGACACCCCACTCGGTGCAGACCTTCCCCAGCTTCTCCTTTTCTCCCTTTTGGTCAAGTGGAGGGGGAGGTGGCTTTGCACATGGGGGGAGCGTGTCCCACCCCGGCTCACAGGAGAGACCCACCACCGGCACGGGGACTCCTGCCCAGATGCTAACAATCCTGTGGTGCCTCTGACTCTCCAGCAGTTGGTCCAGGTGGGTGATTGGTGTCTCTCCGGTGGCATCCTCGACCCAGCCCCCACTGGTCACACCTGTCCCCACGGCCAATGCCTTCAGCATCCCAGACAAAGTCCCACCACAGCGCAGTGAACCCGAATGGCCTTCCTCCTCTCCCACCACATTCCCGTTCCAGTGTTTGGGACCATGGTTGACCCTGGCCTTTCACAGAGCAAGGAGGGAGGTTGGCAGGAAGAGCCAGCCCCACCCCCAGCTCTCCCCTGCTGTCTCCCAGGCGAAGCTGTGGACACACAGTCCTCAGAGCTCTTGAGGAGCAGAGAGGGTGGACCCCGGAACCTGGACGGGGAACCAGCCACTCACAAAAAACACACAGGCCACACAAAAGGCTCTTCGCTGTGCAGTCCAACCGGGCCTCCCGGGGGAAAGATAAAAGTGTTTGTCCCTTGTTTTACTTTACTCGTGACGTCATTTTTCTGCCTCCAAACAAAAAGATGTTTGCAGTTGGTGCAGAACAGAGAGCAGAGGGCAGCCCACTCACAGGCTGCTCCCGTACCTGGTCTCCAACACAATGCAGTCTTAGGGAAACAACCCTGCATGCCTCCCAACAGGTACTGACCAGAAAGCAAACCGGCCCCTGGGACTGGGGGGGAGGGCAGCACCTCCCACGAAGTCTACGCCTGCCTCTGAGCACCTGGATGCTGCCTTTCTCTGCAGCAAGTACATGGTCGGGAGGTAGCCTTCCCTGTCCTCCCTCCCAGATACCCTGGTGCCCCCCCAACATCACTAATTGTGATGATGAATAAACCTCACAAATCAAGCAAGTGGCCCCGTCTTTGGGGTGGTCCCAAGGTGTCTGGATTCGCCCTGTGGAGGGTGAGGCTGCTGGGTTGCCTGCCCCTGGGTAATGAAGGGGAGGGCCTTCCTCATTGCCGGGCTGCTGATGGGGGTTTGCAAGAGACGATGAGATGGGCTTGAATCTCAAATTCCAAGGCCAAAAGTGCAAGAAACTCCAATTTCTTTTTTTTTAAGATTTTTATTTACTTATTTGGGAGAGAGACAGAGAGAGATAGTGACAGAGAGAACAAGCGGGGGGGTGGGGGAGAAGGAGAAGCAGGCTCCCCGCTGAGCAGGGAAACTCCATTTTCTTTAAATTCTATAATTCTGGTTTTGACTAGCCCCCCATTCTGATGCAATGGCAGGAAAGCCCAGTTCCGTCCCTTTTAGCTTCCAGAATGAGCCTCATTGTCAGGACGGGGCCCTGAGAACAGAGCCGCGCTGGAGAAAGGGAGGGATGGAAGTTTATCATGGATTGGTGCAAGTTTGCAATTCTACCAAGGAAGAAGCTAAGAAAAAAAGAGATCCGTGAGCTCTCTGTGGGCTCCCGCACCTGTGTGTTTGTAAGCCGACACTGACCCCTGCTGACGTCCTCTGGGAATGGCCTCCTGTTATCGCAGACCCCCTCCCAGCCCACCCACAGCATCTCTGGTTTCCTCGCGGGGGGGCTGCAAAAAACAGGCCTGGAAAGGAGCTCTCCACGTGTCTGCTGACTCCCCTGATGTGGCGGATATTCACTTGTGTTCACGAGCCTGTAGCGCCGTGAGGGAGATCTCTCCCCGACCCACCGCCAGCTATTTCAGAAGATGGAGGGGCAGGGGGGTCATGGCCTTGGGGCCGCAAAGGATCAGGGAGCCTGAGTCTGGCCTGATGGGGAATCTGGAGCCTCCGAGGGACATGTGCGTGGTGACAGGTCTGGGGCCACTGGTCCCTGGCAAACACCCTCTGTTATCTGAGAAGAAACAGCCATCATAATTTCCCACTGAAGCAAGTCTTATTTTAGAACCAAATTTGAGAATTTTTTTTTAGATCTGGTCATGTTGGTGAATTTCATGGGCTAAATCGTGTGCCCGCCAAATTCATAAGTTGAAGTCCAGACCTCCAGCACCTCCAAATGTAGCCTTATTTGCGGGGCTCTAAAGAGGTGATAAGGTAAAGTGAGGTCCCTAGGGTGGTCCTGATGCAATCTGACTGGTGTTCCTATGAGATCAGGACACAGACAGGCACAGAGGGCAACCGCGTGAGGAACAGAGAGGACCACATCCACATGCCCGGGAGACAGGCCTCGGGAGGAGCCAGCTGGCTCCACGCCTAGACCCTGGACCTCCAGCCTCAGACTGTGAGAAGATACACTTCTGCTGCGGTCCCTTGTCACAGCAGCCCTAGGACAACACAGTGCCCAGAAAACCTTGGTATAAACACCAAAAAATACAAACCCCTGAATGGCTGAGCACCAGCCACGTCGTGTAGCTTGGCACAAGGCGTGTGGTAAATGGCACCATTGACCGAGCCGGTTAGATACCCACCTCCATGCGCTTCCTCTCCCGACCTTTTTTTTTTTCTCCCTTTATTGTACTTATTTTTAAGCATTAAACATAAAAAAGTCTGGCTCTCTATGGGCCAGTTAGGTCAGTGTGAGGGTTAAAGGCAAGAACACAGATCCGCAGGTGCTGTCCTGCTCCCCACCTGGGGAAAGAGCATGGTTTCTATGCTCCCTGGGCTCACGCCCACCCAGGTAATCCAGGAGCCGCCAGGGGCTCGCAGGTGCTCAGGAAGGAGTCTGTGTGACATAGTCCCCAAGCTTCCCCACAGAGCCCACTGCCCTTCTCAGCCCTCGAGTAAGGGGGGCTTACTGGTGGCTTTGCCACACGCCCATCGGGAGGAAGACCAGGTATCCACTTGGGGTCACCCCCCAGTGCTCCCAGAGCCTCCCTCCTCTGCAGAGCCAAGCTGGGAAGGAGGGTGGTCTTCTCCACTCTGAGCCACTTAGTCACCTGGTCTCAGGGGATCACAAAACCCCACGGACAGCCCTAGCCAGAACCTCCACCCTTCAGACCCCCAGACCAGTCCAAGGAGCCACAGAGGGTAGAGGTGGGGAGCACAGGCTCCCCTCCTCACCACGCAGAGCCCCCTCCCTCCAGCCTGCACACTGAAAGCAAGCGGGAGTACTTGCAGATGCTGGGACCACAGACCTGGAGCCCCAAGAAAGTCAGTCGAGATCCTAGGACCACAAGAGGAAAATCAGGAAGTGCCTGAGCTCAAAGATAAAGTTCAGACGTCAACAGACCTCATGTACGCCAACGTCACTGGGAGATACGGTGACAGAAAACATGCCATGTACACAGCAATGACAACAGAACAGAAGATACGCAGGACTATGCTTAGGAGAACTCCTGAGAACCTAAACCTGCCACCATGGGCCCAGAAGAGGACGGGTCTGGTTGGACAGGCACGCTGGGTCCTTGGGTAGGAGGGCCCGGCACTGCGAAGGTGACACCTCCCCACAGTAAGCCACGAAGCGCTCACGGAGCCCTCCTGGGGGCCCAGCACCTGTGATCATGACTCACGGCACAGCTGTGTGTCCGGGGTTCAAACCCTCAGCACTGCTGACATCTGGGGACGGGAACTCTTTGTTGCAGGGGGCGGGGGCTGTCCTGCCTATTGTGGGGTGTTTAGCAGTACCCGTGGCCTTGACCCAGTAAGATCCCAGCAGCACACCCCTTTGACAGTCACGCTCACCAAACACATCTCCAGATCTTGCCCAATATGCCCTGGGGAGCAAAATCGTCCCCCGTTGAAAACCCCTGATGTGTTCCCTGAGCCCTGGTCCTAGGCAATTTGTCAAGGCCCTTGGGCATCCATGACAGCACAGGTGTGTGGGGGGGAACCTGGCGTAACTATCTCACACCCTTGTGGAGTAGATGCGCTCTTCTGGAGACGAACATCAGGAAAAAAATGTGTCTATCTTGAGTTGAGCAGCGTGTGATGCTCTGAAGGGCAGGGTCCTGTGACACGAGGACAGAGGAAGTCCAGGCACAA